GGTTGGGTGAGGCATCTTCTCCAGTCTAGGAGGGAAGGGAGTGTTAACTGGTGGTTAGGAGCATGGACTTCGGAGAAATCCCTTCTTCCCCACCAGTATCTGGAATTGGCTGTTGAGTCCTGCCAATGCTCTGTTCCTGACATTTCTAGAATCTCACCCTGCCTTTCCAGCCCTCTGCCACCACTTTGGTCTGGCCCCATCATTGCTCTCTGGGGGACAGTCCCATCTTCCTGCTGGCCTCCTGGCCTCCCCCTCACCCCCATTACCAGTCCGTCCTGCCTCGCCGCAGCCACTGCGGACTGCCCAACACATGTGTGCAATGCTCACTCTTGCTCACCCTCTGGGGCTCCCCATGGCCCTCACAACGTCTGTGCTCTTCACTGTAGCCCAGAGGGCCCCACACCATGTGGACCCCGTCCATCTCTCACTCTCTCCTGCCTTCCTGGCTTTCCCTCTTTCCTTTGCTAAGTCCGGTACATCCCCTAGGTCTCAGGTGAGGTGCCCTGGGAAGCACCTCTGTCCTCCTGTTCCCACCCGGGATGACTTAGGGCTCTTGCCCGTACGCTGGCACTTACTTGCTTTCTCCAAGAGGCTCTGAGCCCACGGCTGTCTCTGGCTGCTCCGTCTCTAGCATGTATGTGGCATACAGTAGGCACTTAGTAAGTGCTTATGGACAGATGGGTAGATGAGTATGTGTGCATGGATGCATGGGTAGAAAGAGGATAGGGTGGTGAGTGGGTGGGTGGGTGTGAGATATACAGGTGAGTGAGTGAATGGACGGGTGGATGGATGGGTGTGTGTGCATGGATGCATGGATAGACTGATGGATGGACAGGTGGGTGGGTGGAGATGGGATGGGTGACTGGGTGGATGGGTAATAATAGATAACTGGACTGTTTCGAGGGTAGATGGAGAGGCCAGGAGGTCTATGAGGTGATCCCAGAGGCAGCAGAAAATGGAGTTCTAAGCCTTTGGCTTTCCATGGGTCTCAGTTTCTGTCTGTAAAATGGTCAGCTCAGCTCCTGTGTCCAGTGGGGAGGCTCAGGGTAAGCTGGAGAGAAGGTGGAGGCCAGCAGGTCAGGCGCTCCACAGACTGTGCATGGGACAGAACAAGTTTGCCTGGTGTCCCTGTAGCCCAAGACCCCCCTTCTTTGGGGGGACACCAGTGCCCACCTCCATATCTGCTTGCTCCCAGGATCCTTGCCCAGGTATCAGACTGGGAGCCAGACCAGTAGATTTCAAGTCCAAATGTTGCTGCTCAGCAGGAAATTCCCTTTGCTTCCCAGGCCTTAACTGCACGTCTATAAAACGGGGCACTGGTGTGTTCATGTTCCTTGCGATTTCTCTGGGGATTAAAACAATGTGATGGGGGAGGGGCAGGAAGAAACAAAAGCAATATGACAGGAAGATGGCACCTCTCCTGATGCCCAGCACACAGAGGACACCAGGAAATATGCAGCTCAGAAGCTCAACACCTGAGAGAGCAGCTCCTGCTGTAGTCCCCGCCACAGGGGCCGCACTGGCCAGTGCTCCCTCCTAGGCCGTCCTCCCCCCACCAGAGCTACCCCTGGAAACTGAATGTGACATTTCCAAACCTTATGCCAGACCCCGTAGCCCTGTTATAACAGGCACATCATTAATAATTACATAATTACAATGTCTATATTATTATTATTATTTGAGACAAAGTCCTGCTCTGTTGCTCAGGCTGGAGTGCAGTGGTGTGATCTCAGCTCACTGCAACCTCTACCTCCTGGGTTCAAGTGATTCCCCAGCCTCGGCCTTCTGAGTAGCTGGGACTACAGGTGTGTTTCACCACGCCCGGCTAATTTTTTTGTATTTTAGTAGAGACAGGGTTTCACCATGTTGGCCAGGATGGTCTCGATCTCCTGACCTCGTGATCCGCCCGCCTTGGCCTCCCAAAGTGCTCGGATTACAGACAGGAGCCACCATGCCCAGCCTATTTTTTTTTTCCCCTTCTTTTTTCTTTTTTTTTAAAGACAGTGTTTCACCATGTTGGTCAGGCTGGTCTTGAACTCCCAACCTCAGTTGATCTGCCCACCTTGGCCTCCAAAGTGCTTGGATTACAGGCATGAGCCACCACACCCAGCCCTGCCTGGCCTAATTTTTTATATTTTTGGTAGAGATGGGGTTTCATTATGTTGGCCAGGCTGGTCTCGAACACCTGACCTCATGATGCACTCACTTAGGCCTCCCAAAGTACTGGGATTACAGGCGTGAGCCACTGCACCCAGTCGTCTACATTATTTATAATTTGTATATTTATATATAATTTATTTAAAAGCCTATATAATCTATAATTTAAAATTACATCAGATAAACAATTACCTACTATAGTGCTTCTGCCACTTAAAAGCTGTGTGACTTTGGATAAGTGCCCTAACCTCTCTGTGCCTCTGCTGCCTCTCTATGAGTTAATAGGTGTAGACGTCTCAAAACAGGGCCCAGCACATGTCTGTTCTGTGTGGGAATGAGCCCCAAGGATGCTGATGACAAAGCTTTTCTCTGTCTGTTTGCTCATGGGTTCTTTGCTCAACCCTGCAAGCTGGGCGTTTAATCACTATCCCTATTTTATGGGTGAGGAAGCAGAAGCTCAGAGAGGTGGAGTGACTCACCTGAGGTCACACAGCGAGTCAGCAGCAGGTATCAGGTCCTTGGTGTTCTTTCCAAAGACTCCTGGGGCCCTGGTCTGAAAAAAGCCAGCTCTGGACCAGGCCGGAACACTGGGGCCTTTCTGAACCTTCCTTCCAGGGGACTGGGGCTGAAGGGGCCTCTGGCCAGTCAGCCAAGTCTGTCCCACCCAACGTGACAGCCAGGGAACACAGACAGCCTGACCCTGCTCTGGCCACTGCCCTGCCAGGCCCTGTGCCAGGACAGCATGTCTGCCCACCCGGGCAGTGACCAGCTGCTCCTGAGACTGGGCTGGAGCCAGGTTTCTGTCACTTCAAGGAGCTCCTGCCTTCCCGGCTCCACCTCCACAGCCAGCAAGGACCAGTCAGGGATTTTCCTGAACTTTCTCTCCGTTACAAAAAATTATATAAACACTTATCTTTTAAAAGTAACAGCTAACTTAAGTGCACCCTCCTCTGCCCAGCATTGGTCTGGCAACCGCATGTATATTGTCTCTTGGCATCTGCGCACCATTGTGTGAGGTGCATACTCTTCTGCCTGTTTGCAGATAAGGAAACTGAGGCACAGGGAACTTGAGTTGTCTGTCCAAGGCCCTACAGCGAGGCGGTGTCCAGGTAGGGATGTGGAACTGGACAGGGAACCTCCCTACCAGTCAGGCCTTCAGGGCAGAGTCTTGGGGCCAAGAAGAGCCCCCTGAGCTTCTGTTGTTTAGTTTTATAACAAGTTGATTTGTTCAGATGATTGAAGGAAAGCATATTGCTTCCCACTGTGCCAGTGGGGAAGAATATAGAAATAGAATGAGAACATTGTAACGCATGAAACCAGGAGTGCCTTGTGTGCAACCGATCTTGAACAATGTGGGCTTAGGGATTCCTGACCCCCACACTGAAAATTCATGTGTAACTCTTTTTTTTTTTTGCAAGACAGGGCCTTGCTCTGTTGCCTGGGGTGGAGTGCAGTGGCACAATTTCCGCTCACTACAGCCTCAACCTCCTGGGCTCAGGTGATCCTCTCACCTTAGCCTCCCAAGTTGCTGAGACTACAGGCACGTGTCACCATGCCCCGCTAATTTTTGTATTTTTTTGTAGAGATGGGATCTCAACATGTTGCCCAGGCTAGTCACAAACTCCTGGGCTCAAGCATTCTGCCCGCCTGGGCCTCCCAAAGTGCTGGAACTATAGGTGTGAGCTACCATGGCTGGCCTCGTGTGTAACTTTTGACTCCCCTAAAACTTAACTATTAAAAGCTACTGTTGACCAGAAGCCTGACCAATAACAGTTGATTAACACACATTTTGTAAACACACACTTTGCATGTTATATGTATTATTTACCGTAGTCTTACAATACAGTAAACTAGAGAAAAGAAAATGTTAAGAAAATCAGCCGGGCGTGGTGGCTCACGCCTGTAATCCTAGCACTTTGGGAGGCCGAGATGGGTGGATCACCTGAGGTCAGGAGTTCGAGACCAGCCTTGCCATCATGGTGAAACCCCATCTTAAAAAAGAAAGAAAGAAAATCATAAGGAGGAGATAATCTAATTTATTTACTAGTCAGGAAGTAGAAGCGGATCATATGAAGGTTATCCTCCCTGCCACCTTCACTTTGAGTAGACTGGGGCTGGGAGCAAGAAGTGGGGGTCTCATCATCTCAGGGGGTGGAGGGCGAGGCAGGAGAGGCAAGCATACGCTAGGTAACCTTTTGAAAAAACCACCCTCTGATCTTGCCTCAGTTATTCTGATGCTGGGTATGCTAATCACTTCTAATTTTCATTGAGTCTGAGAAAAAAAATCCATACATAAGTAGACTGTGTTGAAGGGCCAGCCATACCTGATGCTGGCAGCAGCAGGTCTGCACACAGCCTAGCGCTTGAGCCAGTCTTGGCTGCTGTGTCCCCCAAAGCTGTGGACCCACCAAGGACACTGCCTGTACAGGGATTCAGGTTTGGTTCTCCTTCCCTGCTTGGGGGCTGTTTCCTCATCCGTAAAATGGGAGGGTGATCCTTATCTTGCACAATGCAGGAAGCAGGCTTGCTGACTCCTTGGGGAGCTCACTCCTCTGAGGAGCTGGGGCTTGTCCCATCCTACTGAGGAGGAATCTGGGGTCAACCCACCAGCTTAGAGTCAAACAGCTGGAAAGCAGCAGTGCCAGATTTGAGCCTGAAACCAGGCTCTTTCTTTAGTCACTTTGCTTAGTCTGAAAGGCAGATATTTATTCATATAAGTTGTTAAATCTTTTAGGAGCTGTCACATGCTCATGGTAGAAAAAATCAAATACAACTTCCTTTTTTATACAAATGTTTTGTACCTTTTTTTTTTTTTTTTTTTAGAAAGTATTACTCTGTCACCCAGGCTGGAGTGCAGTGGCATCTCAGCTCATTGCAGCTTGCAGCTTCCACCTCCTGAGTTTGAGCGATTCTTGTGCGTCAGCCTCCCGAGTAGCTGGGATTTCAGGTGTGTGTCACCATGCCTGGCTAATTTTTGTAATTTTAGTACAGATGGAGTTTCACCATATTGGCCATCCTGGCCTCAAGTGATCATCCCGCCTCACCCTCCCAAAGTGCAGGGATTACAGGCATGCACCATCGTGCCCGGCTCACACTGTTTTTGTTTTTGTCAGAGGATCTTGCTTTGTCACCCAGGCTGTGCAGTGACACAGTCACAGCTCACTGTGGCCTGACTTCCTGGGCTCAAGCAATCCTCCTACCTCAGCTTCCCAAGTAGCTGGGACCACAGGCAAGCACCACTCACCTGCCTGATTTACTTTTTTTCTTGTAGAGATGGGATCTTCCCATGCTACCCGGGCTGGTCTCAAACTCCTGTGCTCAAGCGATCCTCCTGCCTCAGCCTCCCAAAGTGCTGGCATTGCAGGCATGAGCCACTGCCCTTGGCCCTGTACACATTTTGTACACTGTACTTTATTTCACCAACTTGAAGCTTGCTCCGATTATGTGGTGCTTCCATACTCTCCTTGGTACTCAGCTGGTAGAACCTCCCAGATGTATCTACCTCATCCCCCTTGGATGGACAGTTAGGGGGATCTCCAGTGTTTTGCTGCTGCAAAGGACACTGCAAGTGATAGCCTTGTGCACATGACTCTGGGCCCAGGTCATAGGGCACATGTAATTTGCATTTGGGTCCATACTGCCAGAAAGCTCTCCAAAGAGGTGGTACCGGTTTACCCTCCCATCCCCAACTAGATTGGGTACCTCTTTCCCCATGCCCTCATCAGCCAGGCAGATGCTCTGTACCAAGAAAACCAAACAGCTGCTTCCCTTAAAAATACTCACGGGCCTGGCCTTGTGTGGGGATCTGAGTCCAGCCCTGCACCCGTGAGCAACAGCATGACCTCAGGCAATAGGCTTCACCCCTGTGGGCCTCAGTTTCCTCATCTGTAAAATAGTGGTGATTGAATTGTGGTGAGGATCTATGGATCCAAATACCTAGGACAGTGCCTGGAACATCACAGTACCAGGTGAGAAGTGGCTGTTCTTGAATCTGAATGAGTCTTGTACCCCATGACTGATGGGGGCCCAGCCTCTAGGATGGATGCTCAGGCCTCAGACCTGTGTTTTGGGAGGGGAAGAGCAATGTGGGGAATTACCAAGGGGAAAGGGTGGGATTAGCTTATCCCAGCTTCCCACTGTGTCAGTGGGGAAACTGAGGCCCAGAAAGGCCTTGAAGTGATTGCCAGCTCAGCAGCACGAAACTGCTCTGTATCCATGCATTGCTGTCAGGAACAAGTGCTGCATGGAGAGTCTGGAGGGTTGCTCAGGCCACTGCAGGGCCTGAGGTCTGAGAAAGAGGGCTTGGGGACACACAGTCAGAGCCTTGTCCTGAAGTCCTGGAGGGCCCTCCTTGGACAGGACAGAGTTTGTATTCTCTCTCTGAGCCCAGCCTCAGCAGGACCCAGAGTCTTCCAGAGCTGAGATCTTGCCACACCAGCTACAGTCACAGACCTGCCACAATGGCCTGACCTGGGAGTCCCTTACAACTGCAGGACCCCAGGCCCAAGCAACCCACTGCGTCAGAATCTGCATCTCAGCAAGATGTACACGTGAATGTTTGAGGCACACTGAGGCTCAGCTAGGAATGATACCCTCCCTGCCTGGGGGTACAGGCCACTGCTCTGGGGGCAGACCTCAATCCTCAGCCTCTGAATGCCCTTCCCAGCTCTGTCGCAGACACACATAGCTTCCTGGGAGGCACAAAAAGTACAAGACTTGACCTGGCTCCCCGTGAACTGGTGGCCCTGGAAGTTGCTACGCTTTATGGAGCCTCTGCCAGCTACCAAGCACATTATCCCATTTAGTCTCACAGCAGCCCTGGAAGTTTACTGTTTAGAGAACCTTGCAGCTTGGGCACACAAAGCACAGAGAGGATAAGTAAATTGCCCAAGGTCACCCAGCATATAGGTATGCAGGAGCTGGGATTTGAATCCAGAGCTGTCCCCAGCACCAGAATCTAGCCGTTTACAGTTAGAGTGGGCTTGGGGGCAGATGGTGGCTCCTCTCACCCTCCAATCAGCCCCAGCCCCTGTGAGTCCTCACAGTTGGTCGGCCTGGCCATAGTGAATCTGACCTCTCAAGAGCCTCCCTTTCTGGAGCACAGGCCTGTGATTCTCCATGGAGAGCCAGCCAAGAGGGATTCTCCTATAACTTTCCAGAACACAGCAGTTCTGCGGTCAGGCCAAGCTAGCTATGTACAGCTGGAAGAGGCTCTCTCCCCCAGATGCTGAGTGCCTGGAAGCCAAGAGGGAGGGAGTTCTGGAAGGGTCTGGAGCAGCTGGAGGTGAGGCCTGAGGGGGCTGGGGCGGGGCCTGGGAGGAGGGGCCAGCACACAGAGTATAATGAACTGCAGAAAGTATTCTTTTCATCCTGGGAGAAAAACAAGAGTGTTGATCAAAACAGCTGGACCCAAGGCCCAGACAGTTGCCGTCACCTGATTTTTACTCTTAAACATGTTCGAGTTTCATGGCCATTTGGAAGAGAGAGAAAGAAGTCAGCCAATTGTCCATTCAGACACAAGACAACACAGCAGCTGAAAACCAAAGGCAAAAATATTTTCCATCCTTAGGAAAGCCTCTCAGGCATCCCCAGGCCTGCCTCTGGAGCAGCAGCTGGCTGGTGGCTGGCTCTCCCCGAAGGTCAGTGCTTCTGGTTAGCAGGGTGCGTGCCTGGGGGGCTGGCCAGGATCCACCCCCACCTATGCAGAGCTGGGGGCCCTGGGCCAGCCATCCAAGGCCCGCAGGAAATGGAAGCTCCCTTCCTGGCATGAGGGCAGCCGGGCCACCTGGGAGGCCAGGACAGCATGGGCTCCATAGTTCCCTGTCTTGAGACCCCAGCCCTTGATTTCAAAACAGGAGCGATTAGTCTGTTATTGGGAAGGGGGATATAACTGCCCAAAGCTCTTAGGCCCTGGGTGGATTTCATTTTTTCAGCATAACAGTAGCTCCACACAGTTGAAGAGTGTGGCACATGGCCACACGGGGTTTATTTGGTCTACAGCTGAACAAGAGCCATGCGGACTTAGGCCTCATTACCATCATTCTGCAGCCCCAGGAGGCAAAGTCCCACATGGAAACCCTTCATAGGTAGCCTGGCCAAGTGGGTGGCAGGGAATCAGTGATGGTAGGCCATGGGACTTCTCTCTAGTGCCCTCTTCACCCTTTTCTTTCTTTTTTTTTTTTTTTTGAGACAGAGTTTCACTCTTGTCCCCAGGCTGGAGTGCAGTGGTGCAACCTCAGCTCACTGCAACCTCCGCCTCCCAGGTTTAAGCAACTCTCCTGCCTCAGCCTCATGGGTAGCTGGAATTACAGGCTTGCACTACCACATCCGGCTAACTTTTGTATTTTTACTACAGACGGGGTTTCACCATGTTGGCCAGGCTGGTCTCAAACTCCTGACCTCAAATGATCCACCCCTCTCAGCTTCCCAAAGTGCTAGGATTACAGGCGTGAACCACCTCGTCCAGCCACCCACCCTTTTCTTCTCCCAAGAAAACCAGTTTTCTGAAATTTTCAGAGGAAACCAGGACCTCCTTGCCCATGTCTTGCACCCCGGGGTGCCTGTACTCACAATAGCCCCACAGGCCTCTCCCTGATGCCCAGATTGATCCCACCCGAAGGGCCCAGGACAGGGGGACCAGGAAGGACCCCTTCCTCTCTCTGGAGCTCAGTCCATGTCTGTGAAATGACGGGTGATGTCACCTCCCAGAAGGGTAATTTGAGGGTTCGGGGCCAGAGAGCATCAGCCTTTGAGGGTGCTGCAGTTAAGCGGCTCCAGCAGACCTCCAGATCTGAGGGAAGCCCAACTCCAGATCTAGCTGGCTGGGAGAAGCCCCTTGAGAGTCCCCACTCTGTAGTGCTGGGCTCTGCGTTTGCTTAGGAGGCCCTGTCCCTGTCTCTCCCCTTCTGGGCCAGCCTTGCCTCCTGGATTCGCTGCTGTATTCCTCAGGCATCCTCACCCCTTCCCCTCCCAGGAGCTCAGAACCTGCCAGGCTTCTTACCTCTGCAGGAATCTCCACCCCCTCACCAGAGGCTGCCCTCTTGTGGTAGGGGCCCAGCCCTTGAGGCCTATCTCCTCCAGCCCCGCTAAGCCACAGAGAGAACATCTCAGGTTCCCAAACAGACGGTGTTCTTCCTGGTCACCAAACTAGGCAGCTCCTGGTGGCTTGAATGCCCTGCTCCTTTCTTCTTGGCCCACCACTTCCTCCAGTCTTCCCTTCTCCATGCTGCAGCAGGGAGTCTTAAGGAGGGAGGGGCTCCAGGGCCCTATGCTGTGGGTCTCCAGGATTGGGCACCAAACAGTGGAAAATGTCAAGTGAGGGAGGGATCCAGTCAAAGCCCCAGGGGGGCCTCTGAGCTCAGCCAGCTCCTCTGCTGCTCCCCACCTCCGTGGGGAAAGACAGGCTGGGGTTTGGATGGGTGGCCTTTTGGAGAGCAGGGTAATGGGAGCAGACTTGAACTTCCTGTGGCCTCATTCCCTGGCTGGGGGCGGAGGGTAGTCGGAGCTGCTGGCCTGGGGCGCTGGGCCGCAGGGGAAGGGGCTGGGAGGGAGGGTTCTGCGTTAGTGTATTGGGAGGGGGAGCCTGAAAACAGAGGACAGCGGCACTAAACTGCCTTCGGGGAGTCCCCACTGCGCGCTCCTGGCACTTTCCCAGCCCCCTAGCGCGGTCGCAGGCACGGGTGGGTCTGCCTCAAAGTTGTTGGTTCGGCCAGCCCACTGCTGTTTAAATGGTGTGTTTGTTTGGAGTGGCTTAGGGAGGCAACTGGAAATTGGGGGCGGGTAGCGCCCCACTTGGCGCCACCAATGTCGGAGGGTCCGCGTGTTAGAAGCCCCAGCTTCCTAAATGACTGAAGAAGGGTGGGTGGGCAATGAGGAGGGAAGACTGAAAACCAACGTGGGGCTCCAGGGCCCGGGCCGGCCGCCCCCTTTTTGCGGGGGGAGAGCAAGAGCCGCCTCTCGCAGCCACTCTTCGCGCGGGGTGGGAGGGAGAGAGGGAGGCGAGGGGACGACAGCGCCGGGCTCCCCGCCCCCATCCCACCCGGTTCCAATATTTCGCAGAAAGGCACGCGGCTCCTAATCGGTCCTTTCCAGGCTGAGATTTAGCCGCGCGATGCTCGCGCAGGGGCGGGGGCCGCGGGCCGGGGGAGGTGCTCAGAGTCCGGAGCCGCCGAGCGAGGTGAGGAGCCCGCGTCCTCGGCTGGTGGAGCGGGCGGGTGGACGCGCAAACCCGAGAGGCAGATATAGAAAGGGGGGCAGGTTAAAAATAACCGTCTCCGGCTGGGAAGCTCGCGCGCGCTCTCTCGCCTCGTTCGGTGCCAGAGGACTCCAGGGGAGGTGGCGTTGGGGAGGGCAGAGCGGGATTCCCCCTCCTCCGCCGGGCGGGGTGCCCGCCTGCGCGCCGCGGTTGCACGTGTGTGGGGCCGCGCGCCCTAGCCCCCACTGCACCCGGTCGGTGGGTGCCCCCTCCCCAGGACCTGGCGCAGCTGGCAGGCCCCCCCCCGCCCGCCCGCAGCCTTGCGCGGCTGGAGGGAAGCGCTCCATTATTCATTATTTACGAGCGTTAATAGGTTTGAGCCACGGGGGCGGGAGGGGGGGGGCGACGAGGACGCAGTGGGGACCCGGTCATTAGGGGAAGGGGTGGAGAGGGCGGGGGAGAGAAAGGGAAGGAGTGAGGAGGAAGGGGAATGGGCGGGGCTGCGGCGCGGCCTGGAGGAAGAGGTCTCGGCCTGGGGCCGGCGCACCGGGCGCATTTCTCCGCCGGGTTCCTCCACACCGCTGGGTGTCGGAGCTGCTCAGGGCACCAGGAGAACAGCGCGGGCCTTAGATTTTGCTGTCGGCCTCTTGTCCTTCGCGTGCTCGCCCTTCCCGAGGCGCGGGGAGGGGGCTGCGGGCCGTAGCCCCGCCTTGCGCGCCCCTCGCTGCCGCCGCCGCCGCCGCGTCCCCGCCGCAGCCCCGGTCTCATTTATCATCATCTTTGGTCAAGTGGAGTGTGCAAGGAACAGCTGCTTCACTCGGCTGACTTCCGAGGGCGGCTACGGAGAGAATCAGGGAGATGAATGATGGGGGCTGGGGGGGGGGCACAGCCCCCCTGGGTCCCCGCGCTGGCGGGAGGGAGGCGGGGAGCGTCCGGGTCGCCTCCGCCTCACGGCGAGTGCAGCGCCCCCTTCCTCTCTCCTGGCGCCTGCTGCGACCGGGGACCGGGAAAGGGGACCGCCCCAGGAGGGGACTGGGCGCGGGGGGGCGCCCTTCGCTGGCGGAGAACTGGCGGGCGCGCTGCCCGTGGAGCCCGAGGTCGCCATGACCTTGCTGGGGTCAGCGGGCTGGGCTGCGGAGGCGGCAGCGCGGCGTCTTTGGTGGCGCTTTCTGGATTGGCGCAGAGGACGGGAAACAAGGCGGGGGCGGGCGGGGGAACACAAATAGAAGGTGAAATTTTACCTGCCCCTGAGGGAGTCCTGCGGATTTTCTCCGGCAGCAGCAGGCGCTCTGCCTTTGTCTTACACGGCTGAAACATCTGTTGCCGAGGGGCGGCCAGGCCTCAACAACCCCCACACACCCTGCGCGGCTCTCCATACCCCTCGGCCCCAGCCGGGCTGCAGGAGGACTCCGGCGCCGCGTTAACCCTGCGCGCGCTGGGGCGCGCGCCCAGCACCCGCTGCCGCACTCCGCGTCTCGCGTGGGGCTCCTCGCCCCCGCCCCAGATGGGGCCCTGGCGGGGGCGCCCGGTGACCCCCCCTCCACCTCGAAGGGGTGCCGAGGCGCGGCGGGGGGCGGGGGCGGAAAGGGTTAATGGCCTAGTCGCAGACCCTAATTGTTAGAGCCGGCCCCGCTTCGTTTCAATTACCCTAAGTAGAGACTGAATGCGCAATTAACGAAGTCAGCTTGCCAACTGGAAAGCAGGCCCCGCTTTCACGTTGAGCAGAATACTCCACCAGCTGACTTGGACGAAGCAATTTCCTCCTCTCTCCCCCCTTTTTTCTTTCCCTCTCTCTTCCAACCCCCCTCCCTCTTTTTCTCTCTCCTTAATAATAAAATTATACCAAGCAGTTTGCGGTGTGGCAGGCGGCCAGAAAAGCGTTTCTTTAAACGCCGCCGTCTCACAATTAGGCAGCAAGAGGATTTGACACGCCGTGGCGGCCTGACAGGCGGCTTCCTCCCCTGGGGACTGGGGGGAGGGAGGGGGCGCCAATTCCCGGCTCCCCCAGGTGGAACCGGGGCTGGGAGGGGCTGGACTGCTGTGCCTCCCCGGCTGTCAGGATGGCTGCAGCGAGGGGGTGTCGAAAGCAGGGAAGGGAGGGGCGGTTCCGCCTAGGCTGGGGAGGGCGAAAGGCAGCGGCACATTCCATGACTTCTCCGGGAAGCTGGAGTATGGTGGGGAGACCTTGTTCCCTTTTCTGTGTGACGGACAGGCACTCTAGGGCACAGAGCTGTGGAGGGATCTCAGCCCGCTGGGCGTCCTGCACAAGTCACTGGCGCTCTCTGGGCTTCTTCCATTAATCGTCGGCAAAATGAGGGGGAGGCTTGACCTAGAATGTGTTCTGCAAAAAGTGTCTTCTCGTGGCTCATTGCTCTTAGCAGCTGGTCTTGTAGGCCAGGAGGGGGTTGTAGGCGTAGGAACAAGCAGAAGACTCCTATCCGGTTTGGGTGTCAGACCTGTGGGCCTCAAGGCACACAGGAGGGTGGAGCGGCGAGGAACCACGATACAGGCAGCTAATGGATGGGGTGACTTTGCAGGATTGCCAGAGATTGGTGCCATGAGGACAGAGGACGTTGAGCACTGGCTGCAGCAGCCTGGCCGCTTGAGCTCCGGGAATGCCCAGAGAATTTGGCAGAGGTGGGAGGTGACTGCAGGGAACCTCACTTGCTCTTTGCAGCTTCCTAGCCCCACCCAGGCTGCTGTTTACACGGGGTGCCTTCGCCCCTCCTCACATAGTTAAGCCCCGCTTCTTCCAGCCTCCTCTAATCACCTCTTCTCCCCACTCCCAGAGCTTCTCCTGTGCTGGTCGCCTGCCTTGGTGGTCACTACATCTCAACACCATATGGCAGTTGTCCGTGTGCCTTTCTGCCTCTGGAGAGCAAGGGCTATGCTACTGTTTCGTGTGTGTCCCTGGCACCCAGCTTGGCCCACATCCAGACTGTAAGCTGAGCAGAAATGTGCTCCACAGTGAACTGGTGCAGGCACGAGGGGCTCTGGAGGAGAGAGTGCACACTTTCTCTCCGTCCTCATTGGCTGTTGCTTGCATCCTGGCCTCCAGGCCCCTCATCCTCAAACCTCTCTCTGGATATCATCCTTTCAGTCTGTGTTGGTTAAATGCACCCAACTAATAAAGCAAGTCACGTTGAGAGTTAAAAGAGCCCGGCACCCCGATCCATCTCGTTTATTTATCCAAGCAATACTGAAGGGACAACGCTGGGGCCAGTTTCTGGGCTTGGAGCTTAGGGTCAACAGAGGCAGTTCCTGCCCTCACGCTATGTTCTAGTGAGAGAGGCACATGTGAAACAGCTCATCGTACCATCAATTATGTAATTACCACAGCGATGAGAGCCACCAAGGAGCCTGGCGGGGGACCCAGGAGAGTGGGGGCGGGGCTTCCCCCCCCCCATCTGGTGTGGAATGCCACAGAGGTTCTCATCAGCTCTGGGAGCCTCCAGCTTTTGCAGGCCCCTCTTCTCTGTACCTCCTTTCCAAGGTTGCTGGATGCCCCACCTGCAGGGCTCTGCCCTGCCTCTCTCCCACACTCCCAGCCCAGGGCACTTTCCTTTCTGCTTTCCTGCGTTGCCCCGCTGGTCTTCGCTGGTCCCAGAGCTTCTCCTGTGCTGGTCGCCTGCCGTGTGCCCTGTTGAGCCCATGCAGATAGATCCCACTGCATTTGTGCATGGGTTCTGCCAGCATTGACCCAGGGAGCTTGTGATCAAATACAGGCCACAGACAGATTCTCTTGAACTCTAGACTATGAAATAAAAAACTTTTTACTTGGTTGATAACATTTTCTTAAATGAGAGAGATCCCTTTTTATGAAATCCGGATTTCTGACTTTTTCAAGGGAAAGCTCAGAAGCTCTGGCACCCTGACCTCCCACTGCCCAGTGGCCACAGTCTGCTGGTTCCGCTGCCCCCGCTCCACCTTATTTGGGAGCAGGATTGCCAGTTTGCCTTCGTACCCATCTGCCCACTTCCCTGCCAAGCATCAGGAAGATGTTCTTTGTCGAATGAATGAAGCAGAGCAGTGGCCGCCCCTGACTCTCTGCTGCCTGGCCCACCGATGTGTGGCCTGTGCTGCCACTCCACTGCTCCTGGATATTTTCACAGGGTTACCGTGGCATGTTGTCCAGTATTCGTTCAATAGATATTTATTGTTCTGGACAATGGAGAATAGGCTGTGAACAAAACGGGCAGAAATCCCTGCTCTCGTGGAACTTTTGTTCTATAGAGGAGACCAGGTCATCCACAGGTCGTCGTGGGGCTGTGGGGGGTGCTGCCACTAACAGTGGTTGGGGAAGGCTTCTTGAGAAGGTGAGGAGCCGAGACTAGGAGCCAGGGTGGAGAGCTGTGTAGGATCTCTGAGTGGCATCTCCAGAAGTAAAGGCTTGCCCAAGGTCACACGGCCAGCAGTCAGGCAAGCTCGCAGGCTGGGCACCTCTGTGTTTTCACTTCTGAAGGGAAGTAAGTCATGGACCCTCCGGGCACACGGGGTAGAGAGGGTAAGGCTGGGGCCGGAGAGTCCTGTTCCTCCTTTCAAAGCCGGCAGCCACACCAAGACTATCTCATCCTTATCACCTGGCCTCCCACAAGGGCAGAAACTGCTGGGGCTTGGGGTGGGGAGAACTGACCTGGCTGGGAGCACCTCTGTGAGTCCCATCTGACCCCTGTGCCAGGGTCTGGGCCAGCTCCTTGGTCTTGCTAGGCCTGTGACTGATTGTGTGTGATGGCATCAGCCTGGCCTGTCTGGGGAGGGACAGAGGCTGTGTCCCCCGCAGGGCCTGGACAGCTGCCTGGTCCACCAGACCGTGGCCCTGTTAACTGTCTGCGTCCCAGCAGTCAACACCCCCTCTTTGTCTTTTCTTCATTTTGACAGAGACACGGAGAGGTGGTGATGCTTTTTGTTCAGTGGTGAATAAAGTGATCTAAAAAAAAAATTACTGTCCACAAGAGACTTACCAGTACAGAGCTGATAACAGGTGAGCTCCTTCCCGAAGCCTCCTCCGGGGGTCCTTGAAATGCCTGCGGCTGCTGCGGAATCCCTTCCTGCTCCTCTTACCTCACAGAGGTGGGAACCTGGCCATCTGCCCCTTACCCCTGCACTGTGGGGCCCAGGTCTCCAGGCCCCTTGATGGCTGCATCCCAGGAACAGGCACCAAGGGTCGGTGGTGTGGGAGTGCAGGGCACAGCTTCAGAGTTAGGGGACGTGGGCACTAGGCAGGGGGCCTGGCCATGCCCAGGAATAGCAGGTGGGGCTAGGCCAGCAGGTGGGTGTGGTTAGGCCTTACATGGATTCCATTCAGATAGCTCAGCAGGTCTCAGCTGTCCCCACAACTGGGTCTTTGGAGGAGATGGCAGTGGGGGCTGTGAGGGGAGGCTTCTCAAACACTTGGAGAGTCCAGACACCCCTGCTTGGTGTACCCCGAAGAGCCCAGAGTCCCCAGCCACACCAGGGCTCCCTCAACCTCCAAATGGGGCTGGCTGGGGCTGCCCTCCTGCTTCCCACCCCGTCACTGACTGGCTTCCTGGTATTTGGGACTCCCAGACTCTACAGAGAGGGCATGTTGGTCACCCTATGGGATTCCTTCGTGACATGAGGGCCATGAATGAGGAGGGGCAGGACGAATGTCCAAGCATTGCCCACAGGGGGTGGTCTAGAGAGGCCATGCTTTGGAGGGGCTGCCTGGTCTTCTGGGATTCCTGATGTCCTAGGAGGGTCCTCCATCTGCCCCAAGAACACCTCCCACCCCACGGACCCTAACCTGTCTCAGAGGCCTGTGAGCACGTGACCCTCCTGTCTTGTGGGCTCCTTGGAAACTCATCCCCTTCCTCCCATTCAAGCCAGGCCCCCAGGATATGGAATTGTGCCCACAGGACAGCAGTGACTCTGACCAAACATTCCTCATTTTCACCAAGTCTCCTGTGTCGAGTATTCATCACCCACAACAGATGGGGAGGCCTGAGGGGTTCCACCTTCCCCACGCCTCGCTGGACTTTCCTCAGCTTCCTGAGCCCTGGTACGCTCCTCCTGAGGTTCCCAGGCCTTGAGTGGGTTGGGTTTTAAAAATTTTTTTCTTGCAGCTACAAATCAGGAAACCAGATCATAAAGCCACCTTGGGTAAGTAGGTGGGATAGAACCAGGCCTCGGAGCTGCTGCTGGGGATCAGGAAGCCCCCAGCCCCATTTCTTCCTCCCTCCCCGCCTCCCTCCCTCAGGAAAAAGTTCCAGCCACTGTCTCTCAGCAGAGCTCCCTAGGAGCCACAGCAGCTCTGCCCCACACTGTGCCCATTTCCCTGACTGGGGGCTCAAGCCTGGGGTCTGAGGAGGCTTTAGGCCTAGTGACAGCTCCCTGAGGTGCCCAGGGGACAGTAGTTGCCTGGTGACAGTGGGCAGCTGGTGACCATCATTGCCCATTAGTGGACCCACCCGAGGTGGGTCTTGCTACTTAAAGATGAGGACAGAATTAAAATCCAAGTGAGCCCCTAGCCCGGGGCTCAGGCGTCACGGGCTGCAGCTCAGCCCCTTGGCCCACAGCAGCTTTGGCTTGCACCTGCTCCAAGAGACCATCCTCCAAAGTGGGACCTCTTGGCGAGGCTCAGGACAGGGGTGTCCACTGGGGGTCCAGTCACTGTCACTGTTGTTGAGGGCATCTTGCCAAGGAGCTTCACTGTGGGTGGGCTCTTCGCTGGGGTCCTAAGCAGCGCACTCGTTCTGAAGCTCACTTTTTTCTGTAAAGGGGGAGGAGAGATTAATCAAAGCACTGCTGGAGAAGCCCCACAGAGTAGGTGTCTGCAGCCACCTTGCTTCTGCCCCTGCAGCCCTGTAGATTTCTGGACGGGAAGGGCTGGAGTCTTTGCCTAAAAGAAGGGCTGTGCCCCAGGTGTGCCATGCTGCCCAACTGGATGGTGGCGGGGGTCTCATTGTGCCCCCACTGTTTCATGGATTGGAATGGGGACTCCCATTGCCGTGTTGAGGAAATCCTGGTGCTCTGAGGTCTGTGTGGCCCCAGCTTGTGCTTCCTGCTGTGCCTGGCCTGCCTCCACTGTCCAGCGCTGGAAGACTAAGTTCCAGGAGGTGATTCTAAGGGTGAAGTGTTCCTGTATCTGGTGCTTAGAGGATGCACCAGACGCCATCCTCCAAAGTTCAGTTTCAGCAAGAACTTTGGATAAGGCCTGGACCAGGTGTCTGGGAGGAGAGGCAGGTGGGGCAGAAAGGGATGGGTGGGAGTGAGTGAGGACTCTCTGGGCAGTGTGGTTGAGCTGGTCCACGGGGAGGAGCCAGCCCAGTGGGAAGGGGGGTGCCATCGCCAGTCACCACCCACAACCTCTTCTCCCTCCAGCCCAAGCCACAGCCAAACCCAGTGTGCCCTAGGCTACTTCCTCCCTGCCTCCAGGTTCAAAGGTCACCATCACTCTGCCAGGGAGCCTCTTTCTGCCTACTCCTCTTCTGAGGCCACCCCAGCCCAGCCCAGCCCTGCTGCCTGCCTCTCTCCCCATGTCCTGTCCTAGTGCTCATGAGAAGTAATCATAATCACAACAATTAATAACAACAGAGCCCATAGCAGGCCAGAGGCAACACCCCATTTTCTCCCAGCAGAGTTGGCGGTGGGACCTGGCTGGCACTGAGAGGCAGCCTGTGCCTTTGTTCCTATCCCTCCCTTTGCCTTGGGTTTTGGGGTGGTGTTGGGGTGAGCATTTTTGCCTGCGTTCTCCATCAGCACTGGGCTTGTGTTTTAATTGAACTGTCTTTTCTTAGCGATAGATGCTTTCACCGCATCCAGCTGCTCATGTGTATTGGGAAACCTGCCTGTAATACAGCTCGGCTAAATTAAAAGGCACAGCAGCTGGACCGATTAAACAGGGAGGGAGGAAGGGATGCAGGCGGACAGGCAGGGAGGGGACACGGGTAAGAGCAGCCATCTCTGTCTCTGTCTGTCTCTCTTTAAATAATGTTTCTGGTAATGCATTTTGGAGAATGTAAAAAAAAATAAAAAATAAAGCCATAGAAATGTTAATGATATCCACAGGACACTCAGCAGGAAATGAGAGTGATCTGGGACTAATAAAAGCCGAAATGTAATTTGTGCAGATATACGAGGCGCAGGCTTCAGAGTGGTCCTGGGTTTGCACATTCTGGGCTCATAAACATGCGCCTGGGGAGGGCAGGGAGTGGGCGCTGTGCCGTTGGCCTGGGCACAGGATGGCCTGGGCTGCCCTATGGCAGTCTGACCAGGGTGGGAGCGAGAGGCTGCCCACCTGGCAGGGAGCTGCCAGACCTGAACCAAGCACCGTTCCTAGCTCCTCTGGGCTTTCTCGTCGCAGCAGGAACCTCCTGTAATGTTTTATCCGACCGCCAGGGGTAGGATTGAAGTGGGTCAGAAGGGCGGGGCGTACGGCTTGTTAGGGATGCCGGTGACAAATCCAGGGGAGGAGGGGGAGCCGAGGGAAGCGGCTTTGATGAGCCAGTGAGCAGGGGCTTGCCTCTTGGGAAAGTGGCTGGCCCCCCACTGGGCTGGGTCCCTGCATTCCTGAGCCAGGGCAGGCTGACTCCACAGGGCAGGAGAGGTGGTCCCAGCACTGGGCTGATGGGCTCCTGGGGACCAGCTGGCTGCCCTGGGCTTGCCCTGCTCTCAGGCAGATGGAGGCCCTCTGTCCCCTTCCCTGCATCCATCCCTAGACACTGAATGTGGAAGGCACCTGTATTGGGGTCTGGGCGAAGGAAGAGGGGTGAATGTAGCAGCCCTCCCACACCCCATCTTTCTGCCTCTTTCCTGTTTCTCTCCCTGACTCTGTGTGCCTCTCCTTCTCTGTGCCCCTTCCTGACCCCTTCAACAACCTGGAATCTTTGTAGCCTGAGGTAGGCCACCCCTTCCTTTTGGAGCATTTGGGAACCAGCACTGGAAAGTCCCCTGTCGCCCTGAGGGCCTGGGCCACACGGGCCAAGCTGGGCCCCCTTCTTCCTGCCTCCGGGCCAGCGTGGTTCTGGGTAAATCCCAAGCCCTCTGGGACTCGGCAGATGACCAGACCCTCCATGCACTTCCTCCAAAACCTGGGCCATTTTCCTCTTTTTTCCATCCCACTTTTAGGGGTCTTCTGGGATGGCCAGGCCAGCGAGTCAGCTGGGGGAACCTTTATGCTGGATGCCGGGCCAGCAGAGGCTCTGTTCTGAGAGGCTCCCCCAGCCCACCCCGGCTCCTTTCCTGACCCAGGATTCTGCTTTGGGGGCAGGGGCAGATTAGACGGCTGCCTGGGCCCCGGGCCCTAAAATCATAACCAGATGGGCTCGTGGGTGTTGCCTGCCCCAACCCTCTCTTGGGGAGGTGGGGAGGGGCTGGCCAGGAGCAACAGGGCTGCATCCCCCAGTATGGGGAGTCGGGAGTGGTGAGCTGTGCCCTTCCGTTGCCGTGGGACTGCATCTCTAGCCCCATTAGTATGCACTCCCTCACTCTGGGGCACATAATCTGTTTATGCACCTATGATATCAAAAACGGGAGGCAGGTGCTGCTGTCTCGTGTTCCTGAGAGTCAGAGGAGGGGACGTTTTATGTCTACGGTGGCTTGGCAGCCCCTAATCGACGTCTGCTGGAAGGAACAGACAGATTCCAGATGGCGTGGCAGTGATCGAGGAGGTGTGTGTGCGTGTGTATGAGCATACATATGTCTGTGCGTGCCTGTGCGTGTGCTCAGGCAGCCTCCCTAGGGCAGGGGCAGACCCTCCTCGGTCCCCAGCATGGCTGGGTCACGCTTGAGCTTGGCCGAGCAGGGACTAGATTACAGGATCCAGCAGTCCCCCGGGGACAGGGGAGCGGGAATTGCTCTGCTAAATGCTTTTGAGCTGTCAGGAAGGTCTGGGAGTGGTGGGTGGGGGGCAGTGGGGAGGAGCTGGAAGAGGGGGCGGGTGGGGGGGTAGCTCCCCAGTGACCTGGCACTGGGCAGCCGGTTTTGCCTCCTGCATCGGTGGCCATCCTTGGCAAGGCTCAGCTGCAGGCATTGTAGGAGCAGGAATTACACAGCACACCTCCCTGACACAGAAGTTGTCAATATGTGCACAGCTGGTAGGGATGCCCAGGCAAAGGGGGGAATATTAAGAGCTATGCGGGGGAACGGGCAGGGTGGGGAGGTGGGTGGGAGGTGCTTTCTGAGGCAAAAGGAAGTGGTCCATCTGAATCACTCATCCCTCTGCCCCCTCCCTGCCTGTCCTCCCTCCCTCCCTCCCTCCCTCCCTCGGTCCCTTTTTCTTTTCACAGATAACCAGCCCGAGTCATGCAGTCTTTTCGAGAAAGGTGTGGTTTCCATGGCAAACAACAGAACTACCAGCAGACCTCACAGGAAACATCACGCCTGGAGAATTACAGGCAGCCGAGTCAGGCCGGGCTAAGCTGCGACCGGCAGCGGCTGCTCGCCAAGGACTATTATAACCCGCAGCCTTACCCGAGCTACGAGGGTGGCGCTGGCACGCCCTCTGGCACAGCAGCCTCGGTGGCTGCTGACAAGTACCACCGAGGCAGCAAGGCCCTGCCCACACAGCAGGCCCTGCAGGGGAGGCCGGCTTTCCCCAGCTACAGCGCCCAGGACAGCAGCCCTTACCCAGGCCGCTATGCTGGTGAGGAGAGCCTGCAGGCTTGGGGGGCCCCGCAGCCACCACCCCCACAGCCGCAGCCCCTGCCATCAGGAGTGGGCAAGTATGATGAGAACTTAATGAAAAAGACAGCAGTGGCCCCCAGCAGGCAGTATGCAGAGCCGGGCGCCCAGGTGCCCTTTCGGACTCACTCCCTGCACGTCCAGCAGCCACCACTGCCCCAGCAGCCCCTGGCATACCCCAAGCTGCAAAGGCAGAAGCTGCAGAATGACATTGCCTCCCCTCTGCCTTTCCCCCAGGGCACCCACTTTCCCCAGCATTCCCAGTCCTTCCCCACCTCCTCCACCTATTCCTCCTCCGTCCAGGGCGGTGGGCAGGGGGCCCATTCGTATAAGAGCTGCACGGCGCCAACTGCCCAGCCCCACGATAGGCCGCTGACTGCCAGCTCCAGCCTGGCCCCAGGGCAGCGGGTCCAGAATCTTCACGCCTACCAGTCGGGCCGCCTCAGCTACGACCACCAGCAGCAGCAGCAGCAGCAGCAGCAGCAGCAGCAGCAGCAAGCTCTTCAGAGCCGGCACCATGCCCAGGAAACCCTCCATTACCAAAACCTCGCCAAGTATCAGCACTACGGGCAGCAAGGCCAGGGCTACTGCCAGCCGGATGCAGCGGTCCGGACCCCGGAGCAGTACTACCAGACCTTCAGCCCCAGCTCCAGCCACTCGCCTGCCCGCTCCGTGGGCCGTTCACCCTCCTACAGCTCCACTCCATCTCCACTGATGCCAAACCTGGAGAACTTCCCCTACAGCCAGCAGCCGCTGAGCACAGGGGCCTTTCCCTCGGGGATCACAGACCACAGCCACTTCATGCCCCTGCTCAACCCCTCCCCGACAGATGCCACCAGCTCTGTGGACACCCAGGCCGGCAATGGCAAGCCGCTGCAGAAGGACAAGCTCCCCGAGAACCTGCTGTCGGATCTCAGCCTGCAGAGCCTCACAGCGCTGACCTCACAGGTGGAGAACATTTCTAGCACTGTCCAGCAGCTGCTGCTCTCCAAGGCTGCCGTGCCACAAAAGAAAGGCGTCAAGAACCTCGTGTCCAGGACCCCGGAGCAGCACAAAAGCCAGCACTGCAGCCCCGAAGGCAGTGGCTACTCGGCCGAGCCCGCGGGCACACCGCTGTCGGAGCCGCTGAGCAGTACGCCACAGTCCACGCACGCTGAGCCGCAGGAGGCCGACTACCTGAGCGGCTCCGAGGACCCGCTGGAGCGCAGCTTCCTCTACTGCAGCCAGGCCCGTGGCAGCCCTGCCAGGGTTAACAACTCGAAGGCCAAGCCTGAGTCCGTGTCCACTTGTTCTGTGACCTCTCCTGACGACATGTCCACCAAATCTGACGATTCCTTCCAGAGCCTGCACAGCAGTCTGCCGCTCGACAGCTTCTCCAAGTTCGTGGCGGGTGAGCGGGACTGTCCGAGGCTGCTGCTAAGCGCCCTGGCACAGGAGGACCTGGCCTCCGAGATCCTGGGGCTGCAGGAAGCCATCGGCGAGAAGGCCGAAAAAGCTTGGGCCGAAGCGCCCAGCCTGGCCAAGGACAGCAGCAAGCCACCCTTCTCGCTGGAGAACCACAGTGCCTGCCTGGACTCTGTGGCCAAGGGCGCGTGGCCCCGGCCTGGGGAGCCAGAGGCCCTGCCCGACCCCTTGCAGCTGGACAAGGGTGGCACCACCAAGGACTTCAGCCCAGGGCTGTTTGAAGACCCTTCCATGGCCTTCGCTACCCCTGACCCCAAAAAGACAACTGGTCCTCTCTCCTTTGGCACCAAGCCCACCCTTGGGGCTGCGGCTCCAGACCCTACCACAGCAGCTTTTGACTGTTTTCCGGACACGACTGCTGCCAGCTCAGCAGACAGTGCTAACCCCTTTGCCTGGCCAGAGGAAAACCTGGGGGATGCTTGTCCCAGGTGGGGATTGCACCCCGGCGACCTCACCAAGGGCCTGGAGCAGGGTGGGAAGGCCTCGGACGGTGTCAGCAAAGGGGACGCCCATGAGGCTTCGGCCTGCCTGGGCTTCCAGGAGGAGGAGCCCCCTGGGGAGAAGGTGGTCTCCTTGCCCGGGGACTTCAAGCAGGAGGAGCCAGGTGGGGTGAAGGAGGAGGCAGGGGGGCTACTGCAGTGCCCTGAGGTGGGCAAGGCTGATCGGTGGCTGGAGGACAGCCGGCACTGCTGTTCCACGGCCGACTTTGGGGACCTCCCGCTGCTGCCACCCACTAGCAGGAAGGAGGACCTGGAGGCTGAGGAGGAGTACTCCTCCCTGTGTGAGCTCCTGGGCAGCCCCGAGCAGAGGCCTGGCATGCAGGACCCGCTGTCGCCCAAGGCCCCGCTCATCTGCACCAAGGAGGAGGTGGAGGAGGTGTTGGACTCCAAGGCCAGCTGGGGCTCCCCGTGCCACCTCTCAGGGGAGTCTGTCATCCTGCTGGGCCCCACTGTGGGCACCGAGTCAAAGGTCCAGAGCTGGTTTGAGTCTTCTCTGTCCCACATGAAGCCAGGTGAAGAGGGGCCTGATGGGGAGCGAGCTCCAGGGGATTCTGCGACCTCGGACACCTCTCTGGCCCAGAAGCCCAACAAGCCTGCTGTGCCTGAGGCACCCATTGCGAAGAAAGAGCCTGTGCCACGGGGCAAAAGCTTACGGAGCCGGCGGGTGCACCGGGGGCTGCCTGAGGCCGAGGACTCCCCATGCAGGGCACCTGCGCTGCCCAAAGACCTCTTGCTCCCTGAATCCTGCACAGGGCCCCCGCCAGGACAGATGGAAGGGTCTGGAGCCCCAGGCCGGGGGGCCTCGGAGGGGCTCCCCAGGATGTGTACTCGTTCTCTCACGGCCCTGAGTGAGCCCCGCACACCCGGGCCCCCAGGCCTGACCACCACCCCAGCACCCCCAGACAAACTGGCGGGCAAGCAGCGAGCCGCCTTCAAGTCCGGCAAGCGGGTGGGAAAGCCCTCACCCAAGGCCGCCTCCAGCCCCAGCAACCCGGCTGCCCTGCCTGTGGCCTCCGACAGCAGTCCCATGGGCTCCAAGACCAAGGAGACAGACTCACCTGGCACACCTGGCAAGGACCAGCGCTCCATGATCCTTCGGTCACGCACCAAAACCCAGGAGATCTTCCACTCCAAGCGGCGGAGACCCTCTGAAGGCCGGCTCCCCAACTGCCGGGCCACCAAGAAGCTCCTAGACAACAGCCACTTGCCTGCCACGTTCAAGGTCTCCGGCAGCCCCCAGAAGGAGGGCAGGGTAAGCCAGCGGGCCAGGGTCCCCAAGCCTGGTGCAGGCAGCAAGCTCTCTGACCGGCCCCTCCATGCGCTCAAAAGGAAGTCTGCCTTCATGGCGCCGGTCCCCACCAAGAAGCGGAACCTGGTCTTGCGGAGCCGCAGCAGCAGCAATGCCAGCGGCAATGGGGGAGATGGGAAGGAGGAGAGGCCCGAGGGCTCCCCGACCCTCTTCAAGAGGATGTCTTCTCCCAAGAAAGCCAAGCCCACCAAGGGCAACGGTGAGCCCGCCACAAAGCCCCCACCCCCCGAGGCCCCCGATGCCTGCCTTAAGCTTGCCTCTCGGGCGGCCTTCCAGGGGGCCATGAAGACCAAGGTGCTGCCACCCCGGAAGGGCCGGGGCCTGAAGCTGGAAGCCATTGTGCAGAAGATCACCTCGCCCAGCCTCAAGAAGTTTGCATGCAAAGTGCCAGGGCCCGCTCCTGGTAATCCTCTGAGCCCATCCTTTCCTGAGAAGGACCGTGGGCTCAGAGGTGCTGGGGGCAGCCCGGTGGGGGCAGAAGAAGGCCTGATCAATGTGGGCACTGGGCAGAAGCTCCCAGCTGCTTCTGTTGCAGATCCATTATGCAGAAATCTGACCAACAGATCCTTAAAAGGCAAACTCATGAACAGTAAGAAACTGTCTTCGACGGACTGTTTCAAAACTGAGGCCTTCACGTCCCCGGAGGCCCTGCAGCCCGGGGGGACTGCCCTGGCACCTAAGAAGAGAAGCCGGAAAGGCCGGGCTGGAGCCCTTGGGCTCTCCAAAGGACCCCTGGAGAAGCGGCCCTATCTTGGCCCGGCTCTGCTCCTGACTCCCCGAGACAGGGCTGGCGGCACCCAGGGGGCCGGCGAGGACAACTGTGGCGGAGGAGGCAAGAAGCCAAAGATGGAGGAGCTGGGCCTGGCCTCCCAGTCCCCTGAGAGCAGGCCCTGCCAGCCTCAGACAAGGGCACAGAAACAGCCAGGCCATGCCAACTACAGCAGCTATTCTAAGCGGAAGCGCCTCACTCGGGGCCGGGCCAAGAACACCACCTCTTCACCCTGCAAGGGGCGAGCCAAGCGGCGGCGGCAGCAGCAGGTATTGCCCCTGGATCCCGCAGAGCCTGAAATCCGCCTCAAGTACATTTCCTCATGCAAGCGGCTAAGGTCAGACAGCCGGATCCCCGCCTTCTCACCCTTCGTGCGCGTGGAGAAGCGAGACGCGTTCACCACCATATGCACTGTTGTCAACTCCCCTGGAGATGCACCCAAGCCCCACAGGAAACCTTCTTCCTCTGCCTCCTCTTCTTCATCCTCATCCTTGTTTTCCTTGGATGCAGCTGGGGCCTCCTTGGCCACGCTTCCTGGAGGCTCCATCCTGCAGCCTCGGCCCTCCCTGCCCCTCTCCTCCACGATGCACCTGGGGCCTGTGGTTTCCAAGGCCCTGAGTACCTCTTGCCTTGTTTGCTGCCTCTGCCAAAACCCGGCCAACTTCAAGGACCTTGGGGACCTCTGTGGGCCCTACTATCCTGAACACTGCCTCCCCAAAAAGAAGCCAAAACTCAAGGAGAAGGTGCGGCCGGAAAGCACCTGCGAGGAAACCTCGCTGCCACTCGAGAGAACACTCAAAGGCCCTGAGTGCGCAGCTGCCGCCACTGCGGGGAAGCCCCCCAGGCCTGATGGCCCAGCCGACCTGGCCAAGCAGGGCCCACTGCGCACCAGTGCCCGGGGCCTGTCCCGGAGGCTGCAGAGCTGCTACTGCTGTGATGGCCGAGAGGACGGGGGCGAGGAGGCAGCCCCAGCCGACAAGGGCCGAAGACATGAGTGCAGCAAGGAGGCCCCGGCAGAGCCCGGCGGGGAGGCCCAGGAGCACTGGGTGCACGAGGCCTGCGCTGTGTGGACCGGTGGCGTCTACCTGGTGGCCGGGAAGCTCTTTGGGCTGCAGGAGGCCATGAAGGTGGCCATGGACATGGTAAGAGGCCAGCCCAGCCAGGGTGGGGAGCGTGGGATTCCAAAGGATAGGCAGGCAGGAATGCAGGGCGCCCCTTGTCTCTCTAGTGCTACAGCATGGGCCTAATGCGTCTGCAGTCTCGGGACAATCTGCAGGGTCCTCCGGGCTGTGTGGGGGAAGTGGAGGCACCATCTGGCCAAGGCAGGTCGGACTCACCCACCCTGTCCCAGGAGACTTCCTGCTGGGGCCCCTATGCCAGCTGCTGCCATTCTCACACTCACCTGGCATCTTCAGGCTCCAGCCCCACCCAGAGCCCACATGGCTCCTCCCCATGCTGTCACTGGAGATGCCAAGGCCCCGAGGACATTCGGCCTCCCAGGATTGAACGTCGGGGCTGCCCTGGGCAGTGCAAGAGCAAGTTGCCCACCCTGTTTCTGTCTCCTGTGCCTCTGGAATGGAGCTGAGGGCTTAGGGGAAGACTCCCTCCAACGACACAGGCTTGGCACATGGACCAGTCACAGGGCCCCTCCCTCTGCAGGACAGTCCACGGGGTCACATGGTCACACAGGCAGGTCAGGGCAGACCCGGACCCTCTCGGCCCTGGCTCTGAGACCAGCTTTGGAAGCCGGAGTCACTGAGCGCCAACGTGAGAGGGAACTCGGGCCGCGCCGCCATGCACCTCTGGGTCTGTGACCTGCCCTCTCTGTGCCTCCGTCCCCTCGCTCCTAACGTGGGTGTGAGGGTGCCCATGGAGGAGGGGTCGGGAGGGTTAAATGAGGGCAGTCCCCAGCCTCCAGAGCGCCGCGGCCCTGTGACAGTCGGTGCAGAGGGGCCTGGTGGCTCTGGTGACAGCAGGGTGACGTGCCTAGTGGTGTCACCACTTCCCCAGTACCGTAAGGTACCTCTGCCCTGCTGAGGGAGGCACCAGTGGGGTCTACTTCTCCCGCAGTCGTGCTCCTGCCGCCCACATCCAGCCCCCACTCCATTGCCGCATCCAGACCTCCATGGAGTGACGCTCCGGCTCCCAGTGCTGGGTGGTGGCTCTCAGTGGGAACAACTGCTCTCTCAGTGGCCCCTGCCCTGAGTCCCATCCCCTCCACTCCTTCCTTCAGCCTGCTGTGTGCGGTTGAGGTCACAGGAAAGCCAGAGGGGCTTGGCAGGGGTCCCCGGAGGCCCTGGACCAACACTGCCTGCCTCTGAGCAATTGAGTGACCCAGCAGAGTGGCCCCAGTGACTTCACCCCTCCCCCTGCATGGCCTCCTCCCCTGTCGCAGTGCGGCCCACGTGCTCCTCAAAGTGCCCCTGCGGCCCCTCTGAGCAGCCTCTGCCACTGACAGTTGCTGTGACATCATCTGGCCTTACCAAGGTCCTGGTGGGGGCCCACTGTGCATACCAGTCACACCTCATGTGTATCGGGCACCTGCTTCCCACTGCCCATAGGGATGGCTGGATCTCCACACCCAGAAGCCCTGCCCACCTCACTCCAGCCTCTGCCTCAGAGGAAGGCTGGCCAGGACGGAACACCTACAGCTTCCTGATGGGGCAGGCCTTGCTTGCCCAGCAGATGGTGGCTCTGGGTCTCCTCCCAGTTAGTGATTTTTTGCCTCTCCCGTTTTCTCTATCTCTTTCTCTCATTACTGGCTCCTTCCCAGCACCTTGAAACAGGTTCAAGTCTCTCCAATCATAAAAAACCCTCAGATCCCCAGCCCCAGCTGGCTGGCATCACCTCTCTTCACAGCCCCATCCCTGAAAGCCTGTCCCTACTGCATCCTGGCTGTTCAGCCTCTCCGGGGACTGCCTCCGTGCTCCCGGACACTCATGTCCCACCAGGCTGGGATCAGGTCGTCTCTGCGCCCCCTGCAGCCAGCACTGGCCGGCCGAAGGGAGGAGGGGTCAGCCCTGAGCACCGAGCACCCAACTGTCCCTGGGCCATAGGTGTCTTACCATCCATGCACGCACAGCGCTCTGCTGGACTGATGCAGTGTCGGAGCGGCACCGGCTTCCCTACGCCACACAGGCTGGAACTCGCCTGCCTGGGCCATGCCTGTCCACTATGCCATGCTCCAGAAATGGCTTGACAGCCTACACGACTGGGGCTGCCCTGGGAAGGTCAGAAGCAGGAATGCCCTGCCAGAGACATGGGACATCTAGGGAATGGGCAGGTCTGGGGCTTCCCAGGGTCACTTTTGGTTCATACCCCTTCCTGCCTCAGTGGCTTGGGGGCACCACGATTCTTGGAGCCAGACCCTGATTTAAATCCCAGCTCTGCCGGGGGCTGGTTCCATAACTCCAGGCAGGTCGTGCATCCTCTGAGAATCGCACAATGTCAAACCCTGTTAGCAGGATTGTGGGGTTCTGCGGATCATGTGAGACCTGCCTGGCATGTGGAAGGGGATTGGGGTGCAGCTGCATCCCCAGCCACAGCCCTGCCATGCTCCTTGGTACCGTGGCCTCACTTCAGCTTTCCGGAGGGCAGAACCTCTGAGCCAGCCCTCAGGAATACCCTCGTCCCTCAAAGGCCTTTTCTGGGAACTGCCCCCGTCTGCTGTCTCTGAGCCCTACCATGCCAACCTTCTGGCACCTTGGTGTCCCTGGCTGCCCAGAGCCTGCCCCTTCCCTGAAGCCATCATAGACCCCTACCTCCTATCCACATGGGGCCTGGCCCGGAGTGCTTGGGGTGAGAGGGACCCATAGCAGGCTCCAGGCATTGTTGGGTGCTGGGCGGGGTCTGTAGAGGCCCCACCTGTGGCAGGGTTCCCGGGCCACCACCCCTGCCCTCCTCTCGGGGTAACTGGGGTCAGAAGGGCCTGAGGCCTCACTCTGCGTCTCAGTTTCTACACATCTAAAATGCCATTCAGATGCCTCCCTGAGAGTGGCTGGGGCTGCCTTGCAGTCAAGTGGAGCGAAGCCTTTGGCCAGAGACCCCATGCCCTTCACCAGCTAGACACCAACGCCACTCATGGACAGCGGCTTCCTGTGTTTCATTATCCCTTTTGGGTCAGGAATTGGGGACGCTGGACCCCAGATCCCCAGGAGGCCATCCCAGACCAGATGGGAAGGAGCCCTCAGTCCTGAGCTGAAAGCCCGAAATTGTAGAACAGACCCCAGGCTGTACCCCCCACCTGCCCACTCCCAGCTTGGGCAGGGGCAGCGCGGAGGGGAGTGTTCTCAGACATTTCTTAGCTGCTGGGGAGGGGAGGGAGCATCCCCACACCAGCATGTGGGGTCCTATGGGCCCCTGCTCCAGCCTGGAGCCGGCTTTGGGGGTCAGAGCCCAGCCTGGAGCCCTCGGGCAGGTTACTCAGCCTCAGCTCTCATTGGTAACCTGGACACAAGAGCAATAATGGCATCATAAGGTTGGCATGAGGGCAGGAGGCTTCCAGCCACACGTGGCACACAGGAAGCTATTGTCATTTGTTTCACTGGCTTCACACCTGGGCATAGGCCACCACCCTCTCCTGCCTTCTTTTCCTTACCCCTGCCAGCACGGTGGCGCTGTGGTGCTGGCGCCTGGGTGGCATCTCCCTCCTCAGCCTCAGGTTGACTTCACTCTTCCAAGGGCCTTCTTGGCCTGGCTGTCCTCTCCTGGCCATGTCCCACTCCAAGCAGCTGGGCCAGGTGTGGGGCAGCCCCCAAGCTTCACAGAGGACAGTTTTGAGACTTAGAGGAGGAGGGCATCAGATTTACATGAAATCAGCATCTCAGGGTCTGAGGGCTGCTTCCCAGAGGGTGCAAGTCTCATCCCAGGCAGAACAGTCCCAGCCCAGCTTCTGTGCTCCTGCTGCCAGAGGGTAGGAAACCATGTCAAATGCCTTCACTCTTGCCTGGAATGGGAGCCTCAGTTTCACCATCTGTAAAGTAAGGTTAATGAAAGTGACCCACGGAGGGCTGTTGGAGCCAGTGGATAAGGACACAGCAGCCCCTGCATGCAGGATGCATGCTGCAGACACCGGCTGGGAGCCACAGCCATGGTGGTAACTGGCATCACTGCCCCAAAGGGGTCTTCCTACACAGTGTACCAGTCCAGGGGGTGCCAAAGGCCCCACGCTTGTGGGCATGAGCGCCCCAGTGCCGAGCCTCCTTCCGGCAGATTTCTAGCACCATTTTGGAGAAAGGAGGCGGGACCACAGGGGACCAGCCTGTAAGGGTTTTTTTTTTTTTTTTGAAACAGGGTCTCACTGTGTTGCCCAGGCTGGAGTGCAGGCATTGGCATGATCTCAGCTCACAGCAGCCTCAACCTCACAGGCTCCAGCGAGCCTCGCACCTCAGCCTCTTGAGTAGCAGAGACTACAGGCGCACACCACCACACCTGGCTACTTTTTGTATTTTTCTGCAGAGGCAGAGTTTCACCATGTTGCCCAGGCTGGTATTCAAACTCCTGGACTCAAGGGATCCTCCCACCTAGGCCTTCCACAGTGCTGGGATTACAGGCTTGAGCCACCACAGCTGGCCTGCCAGCCTGTAAAACTTGAGGGCTGGGCTCCAGCTGAAGACTCACCTGCCTTTCCTTTCTTTCATCAGATATGTTCCAGCTGCCAAGAAGCCGGGGCCACCATTGGGTGCTGCCACAAAGGATGCATCCACACCTATCACTACCCGTGTGCCAGCGATGCAGGTACGAGCCCACCCAAGAACAGGAGGGCACTGGAGCCCCTCCAAGCAGTTCGGGGGACCCTGGGCACAGCTCCCCAAACCCAGGCCCCATCTTCAGTTTCCTTCCTCTCCTGCCCCAGCTACTTTTTAATTTTTTTGAGATGGAGTTTCACTCTTGTTGCCCAGGCTGGAGTGCAATGGCTCACCACAACCTTTGCCTCCCGAGTTCAAGTGATTCTCGGGCCTCAGCCTCCCAAGTAGCTGGGATTACAGGCATGTGCCACCATGCCCGGATAATTCTGCATTCTTGGTAGAGGTGAGGTTTCTCCATGTTAGTCAGGCTGGTCTCCAACTGCTGACTTCAGGTGATCCGCCCACCTAGGCCTCCCAAATTGCTGGGATTATAGGTGTGAGCCACTGTGCCCAGCCCCCTGCAGTTCTTTGTTTTGTCTTTCTCTCTGCCTGAGGACCTCTGCTGGGCAATGCCAGGGATGTGGAAATGAGGCATTCCCCAGGCACCTGCTTGAGTAATGCCCAGAGCAGGGAGGGAAGGTAGAGGCATATATTACAGTATGGAATGCTGTCTGCAGAGCTGTCATTGCCAACGGGCGAGGAGGAGCTCAGGCTTCAGAAAGGGGTATGGGGATTGGGCCTTTGAAGGATGAATAGGAGTTCACTGAGCAGAGACAGAGAAAGACACTACTATAACAGCAAAAACTAAATGAGTTGGAGGTGATGAGGTTCAAAACAGAGACTGAGATCCATGGTTTCCTGTTGGCCACAAGGACCAGTTGTGGAAGCTCTGAAGCAGGGTAATGGGGTCTGGAGGCAGGCCCAGGCTCCCCTCATCCTGTCCCTGAGTCCCTCCTCTCACTCATGCATTCATTTGTTCCACAAGCACTTACTGAGCCCCTCCTATCACTGGACACACAGCATGACAGATTGCAGGGGCTGGAGATACCTGGGAGCCCTTACCTTTATCGACTAGGTGGGGAAACTGAGGCTCAGAGACATTCCTTATTTCATCCAAAGAAAGCAGTTGCTTATTGTGCAATATTAGTTATTGATTACAACAGTATTTTGGGAGATTTGGGACCAACTTTGGCCTGGATTCGAACTCTAGTGTTGGTGGGGGGTTTCGTTTTTGTTTGAGACAGGATCTTGCTCTGTCGCCCAAGCTACAGTGCAGGGGTGCAATCATGGCTCGCTGCAGCCTCAGCCTCCTGGGCTCAGTCATCCTCCCACCTCAGCCTCCCGAGCAGCTGAGACCACAGGTGTGTGCAGCCACGCTGGCTCCCAGGAGTGTTTCTATCGTGTGGTCTTGGGCAAGTTGGTCAATATGTCTGCATCCAGTTTCCCCACCTGTAGGATGGAGGTGATAATAGCATCTTTTCTCCAGAGCTGCTGGGAGGAGAGTGAAATAATGAACACTACCAACGCAGTGCCGCCTCATTCCTATTTTGGGTCCAGCCTCTATGACTTCTCCCCCTTACCCTCAATCCCTCCCAGCTCTGGCCTGGAAAGAGGTGAAGTCATAACCCACCTCCCAGCAGACAGAGCCCAGGCCCCCCAGGCTCCCGTTACTCTCCCAGCAGCGCCCTCTACTGCCACTCCTCATAACCTGATGCCCTGCTGGCATTGCCCCAGCAGAGGGGACTACAGCCTGTGGCCCACGTGCTTGCTGGGTCCCTGGCCAGTGTCAGCCCAGCCAGCCTGCCCCAGGGAGGACAAAGAAGACTGGATCCTGATACTTTCTGGGAGGGTACTGAGCTGCCAGCACCCAGCAGGGAGGGCCTCACCCCAGGTGGGATGTGGAGGATTCTCACTGGCCCTGCCCTCCCACTCCGAGCAGTGTGAGCCAGAGTTTAACATGGACCCTGCCACTTACCCAGGCTTGTGGCCGCACTCCACATAATAGCTGCCACGAGTCACATTCCTCCTTCCACAGTGATGAACGGAGTGCCAACCACTCCCAGCCCTGCGAAAAGCCCATGTTGTTTCTGGCCATCTTCACAGATTGGCTGCCTCACTCACGGCACACAGCATGGCACGGACAGTCCCAGGACTTAATGCCCTGGCATTCTTGCCCCATGTCCTATGTTCTTCCTCCTACCCCAGCACTTCCCAGCCTCCCAAGGGGCTCACCCTTGAGTGGGACAGACAGCAAAACCATGGTTCTTGGCCAAAGTTAGGGAGACCAGACAGGAAGGAGAGAGTAGTCACTGTGGGAGAGGTTCATCCTGTGTGAACCAGGAAGAAATCTAGGAAGACTTCCAGGAGGAGGTGACATTTAAGCCAGGTCTCAAAAGATCAGGGGAGGTGGGCAGCAGCTGTTTAGTGGTGGGACTTGTATACTAGGCTTTGAGCAAGAGATCTTTTGTTTCAGATAAAATCCTAGCATTCCTCATGTAACGGACTCCTGTTGCGCCACGAGGATTGAGGCAGGAAAGAGACTGGGAAGACGAGACATTGACGTGATCTGAGCTAAGGGATTACTGCAGTGGTCTAAGCAGGAAGGGCTGCCTGGTGCAGATGGAGGCATACAGCTCAGAGACTGAGCTGGCACAGAACCCATGGGACTTGATATGAGGGATGAGGGAGAGGGAGGTGTCAAGCCTGACACCCAGCTTCCGCACGAAGCGGGAGAAGTAGAGTGCGCACATGCAGGTGGAGTATTAGCTCATGCTGCAGCGCTACTGGCCCTTCCAGGCCCAGCTTCGTGGCTTCAGCACCAGCCCTTCATTCTTTCTCAAAAAGGCATGAGTTGGCTGCAGGCTCTGCTGGGAGCAGGATGACCTAGGGTGGCCCCAGCTGGACCAGCTTGTCTTTGCTCCATGCAGCCTGTGTCATCCTCCAGCAGGCTGGCCTGGATGCGTCCTCATGGCGGTGTGGCAGCAGGGCTGTGAGAGCGTGGAGATCACAGGGCCTCTCACAGCCTAGATCCTGGACTTCACCACGTCCTGTTAGACAACGCAAGTCCCCAGTCCAGCACAGAGGAGTGCAGCCCACCTCTCCATGGGGTGAACTGCAGTAGCTGCACTGCAATGGACCCGGGTGCACGGAGGGGCCGGGGCTGCTCTGCCAGGCCATCTACACACACGGCAGTTCCCTGTGGCCACACTGCAGCAGAGGCAGCTGTGGACATACAAAGTGTAGGCAGCTGGGCTCAGGATCGAGTCTCGCCCACCATCAGCAGGCGAGGGTTCCTCAGAGCCCTGTAAGGGGCAAGATAGTGGGGATCGTGCTCACCATGGAACAGCTAGCTAAGGCGGAGGGGTGGACCCCCGGGAAACTGAGGAACAGCTGCCAGAGAAGGTGAGGGAGAACAAGTGAGCTCGAGAGTGAAGGCAGGGAAGATGGGCACCTGGGAGGCAGGAGCCAGGCGGGGTGGAAGTGAGGGCACTGAGAGTAGGCCGGCCACGCTGATTCAATGTCTGGTCAGGGAGGAGCCCCAGGCCTCTGCAATAGGCACTCGGACTACAGGGCACCAGGGCTGCCCATTGGCTGCCAGCCTCTGCCCCACACTGCACTGTCCTGGCCCACTCATCCTCCCCCCATCCAGTCCTTGTTAAGGAACCCCAGTTTGGAGACAAGCAGTAACTGAGGAGCAGGCAGAGGCTGCTACGCCCCGGTATCCTATCTGAACCTTTCCCCACTCAGGCTCTGGGCCAACCTGTCAGTGAGCGCCCAGGTTCCCCAGCTGCAGGCGCCAAGGCCAGAGCCAGATCTTTGAGGACTGGCTTTACCCGGTGTCTCCCACCCCATGCCCCATGTGGAGTGGTGCTGGGCAGTGCTGAGGGAGTCTGTTTGGAAGCAGCGACCTCCTACCCTCAACTTCCCTTGGTGGGAGCAGCTGCAGCTACTCAGGTGTGCAGGGGGCAGGCCTTGGGTTTTAGCCCAGTGTCTCTGGAAAATCTAGTTCAGCCCCAGAACCGTGTCTGGCTTGCTGGAGCCAAGGGAAGGGAACCAGCTGGTGGTGCATCTCCAGCTGCTGGCCCTGAATGGCAGTTTCCAGGTCTGAGGCACCCCCAGCTTCTGGAGACAAGGGGAGACCACCTCAGAGAGGCCTGCTGCTGCCCAGCCCTGCCCTCAGGGCTGCAGAGCTGAACCCACCCTCCCTCTGGCCACCACCTGTCATGATGCCACTGCACAGAGCCACCTCCAATGTGAACAGGAAGACTGTGTTGGAGAGAGCGCCAGCCTCCAGCTACTTTGGGTGTGGGGTTTGTTTAGATCAGTGGCTGGCAAGGCTGGTGGGGGAGGGGAGCCCAGAAGGGGACTGGGGACTGGGTGGGGTCCCTGGGGGAAAAGCCACCTTCTCCCTAGGTGGCAGCAGGCAGGAGAGTTAGGGACTCCCTGAGATAGCAGCACATCCCAGGCCTAGGTGGGCATGAGCACTGGCCATGCTTGGCCATCCTCTCTACCGCTGCCTCCTGCACCCCCTGTGCCACACATGTACAGGGTGGTGTATTTATTTATTTATTTATTTTTACATTTTATTTTATTTGAGACAAGGTCTGGCTCTTTTGCCCATGCTGGAGTGCTGCAATCACAGGTCACTGCAACCTCCGCCTCTCAGGGGAGAGTGATCCTCCTGCCCCAGCCTCCAGAGTAGCTGGGACTACAGGCATGCACCACCGTGCTGGCTAATTTTTGTGTTTTTGGTAGAGTTGAGGTTTTGCCATGTTGCCCAGGCTGGTCTTGAACTCCTGGGCTCAAGTGATTCACCCACCTCATCCTCCTATAGTGCTGGGATTACAGGCATGAGCTACTGCTCTGGGCCAGGGTGGTTTCTATACACTCCCATCATCAATCTCCATAATAGGCCTAAAGTAGGTGGCATGATGCCCATTTTACAGATGTGGAGACCGAGGTTCAGAGAAGTAGCAGACGTGCAAATCCAGGCCTGCAACACCACCACCAGCCTGTCCACAGGGTGTTGCAGAGCCAGACCAGGCATACATCTAGGGAAGACGACGAGAGCTGGTGCTCTCTGGAAGCTTGCCTGCCGGTGGGGAAGAAACAAGGACCAAGACAAGATCACCACAGAGGACAGCCTCTTAGGGGGCAGTGACAAGTGTGGCTGGGAGAATAAGCCTGGGGGAGGGAGTGAGGGACGGCCTCAAGTGAGGAGGGACGGCCTCAAGTGAGGAGGGACAGCGCGTGGAACTCCGGAGGGAGGCGGAGGAGGTGAGGTGAGTCAAGACCACCAGGCCAGGGCTGTACCGCACCATTGAGTGGAGTGTGGAAAGTTTTGAGCAGGGTTTGATTTACTCTGAAAGAGCCCCTGCAGCGGCTCCCCCGCTGGCTGCCGACAAAACCTCAAGCTGTGAGCTTCCACCCTGTCCTAACCACTGAAACTTCTCTTTGGTCACAGGTTGCATATTCATCGAAGAGAACTTTTCTTTGAAATGTCCCAAACATAAGGTAGGGGACCACAGTGCATTGTAGGGGATGGGAGTCAAGCGGGAGAGGAGCCCCAGCCCGCACCTCCTTCACAGTCCGAGTCCCTGGGCCGCACAGCCCCGCAGGACCCAGCCCGAGACGGAGGGAGCTCTCCCCGCCCACCCCTTAGAGCCCCAGCCGCAGTCCACTTGCGCGCTGCCGCTGCCGCCGCCGCCAAAGACCTGTAGGCGTCGGGGCAGGGGCAGCCAGGGCCTGGGGGGCGTCCCTGGGACGGCCTTCCCGCAGCCCACCCAGATAGGTAAGAGTAGGACAGGCGGGGGTGCGGGACGGCGGCACGAAGGTGAAGGTGGACGAGGTAGGGCCAGCGGTCTCGGGCGGAGACCCCTGCCGCGCTCCCGCGTCACCCGGGTCGGGGATCTGGGGAGCGGAGCCTGTAGACTGAAGTCCGCGGTCGTCGGTAACTGGCCGGGTCTTTTGCAGAGGCTGCCGTTGTAATCCACCCCAACGGCTGGAGGAGCCGCCGGAGCCCGCCTGCCCGCCCGCCGCCGAAGGAGAGGAGCCGCCTGCGCAGCCCCCGGGCCATTGAGCTGCTCCCAGCGCGGGTCCAGAGCCGATCCTTGATCCGGGTCCCGGATCCTGGATCCGGCTGCTTAGGGCTCAGACTTGCGGCCCGGGTTGGGAGGAAAACCCGTTCCGGAGCTGCCTGCTCCGGGAACCGGACGTCACAGGGCCTTCTTGCCCACCCCAGGGGCCAGGCTTGCAGAGGTGGAGCCCGCCGAGTGGCCAGACTCCCCGGGACGCTCAGCCTCTGGCGGGGATGGGAAACGGCTTTGGTCTGGGGACGGTTTTCCCCTCCGGAATCTCAAGACGACGTGGCACACATTACACGTGGGTGCTGCCTCCACCCAGTCGGTCGTGGCGTGCAGCTGGGAGCCCTGGGCTTGGGGGTGGGGGTCGAAACAGTCCTGGAAGAGGCGGAGGGCGGTTCCTAGCTCTGTGGACGAGGCGGGGGAGAAAGAAAGCCTTTCTGGGAGCCGGCTAGACCGGCGCGGGAGGGGCCGGAGCCTTTGGAACAAACCGTGCGGAACGCGTCCGGGGCCCTTCCCGCACAGCCTTTGCCAGATCTTTCGTGCGGTTCGGGCAAAGCCGGGGTAGTCCTGGGCTATGCTCAGGGGTTGTGAACGCCCCGAATATGGGCGGGACTGGGACACCCTTTGGCCTCTCTGTTCGTCCTCTTTCCAGTCCTCCACCCACCCCTGAAACCCAGTTTGGGAGCGCAGAACGCAAGAAGCGACCAGAACGAATCTCCGGCGGACGCGCGACATTTGTGCATCACCAGGGACCGCCGCGCCCACTCGGCACGGGAGCAGGGACAGCGCTAGATTCGTGTACAAAACCTGTGTACCCCTCTATATATATGTTACATAGAATGTATATATGTTGGGAACATGCTCGCTTCTCCCGTGTGTCGCCGCCGTGCGTCGTGCGCCTGCAACAGAGCCCCAACCGGGCTTTTGCCGGGTGTGGGCTACGGCGATGCCCCTTGCCCACGCAGCCACCACCGGCCCGGGCCAGTCCCTGCCAGTCCGTCCGCCTGTCCGTCTGTGTCCTCAGCTCTGTCCGCGCTTCGATAGGCCTGACGCAGCCCCCAGCTCAGGGCTGCCCTAGCAACTTTCTGTACATATGACTGTAAAATGGTTAACGTGTGTATTATATCTGGCCTCGTTATATAGTGTATATATATGTATACATATACATATATATAATATATATGAAGACTGTAAATGTTAAGACGACTAGTGTTCTTATTAGTATATTGCTTCACACTGAAGATTGTGTGTATCGAGCTGTTTCTAAAAGATGTTTATTTTCCTTAAGAGTAAAAAACAGTCATTGCATTCAGAAAAAAAAAGTCAATAAAGATACAACGATTGTTTTGGAAAATCTGCAGCCAGTGGATTCCGACCAAATTCAGCTGGGAGCCGGGCCAGGCTTTAATTGGGGAATGGGAATGAAGGGAGGGGTTGGGGGCACAAATGGAGTCAGGGAGTCTGCCCTTCACAGAACAGGAAACCTCCCCCGCCACTGTGGCCCCTCTCCAGTGTGGCCTCAGGTTGGGAGGGAGATCGGAAGCTTCTCTGCTATGAAGTGACCAGGGGCCAGGAAGGGGGAAGTGAGACATGGCAGACTTACAGGGAGACCCGAGCTCCTGTCATACAACAGATGGGTTCTGGAGGACAGTCCACCCTCCCACGCCACCCAGGGACCTGACGGGGGCAGAGCGAGGAAGTAAGGCACAGCTGAGCCCATCGAGGCCCGAAGGGTTGACAGAGCCCAAACACGTGCCCTGGAAGCAGGCGACAGGTCAGCTGGAGGCCATACAGCCAGCCCTCCCCACACTAACATCCGAGAGTCCTGTCCCTAGCGGACACGGCGGGGGATGGGAAGCCTTTGTCTAGGTGATGGGGGGAGGGCCCAAGCACTCTCACTGGTCAGCACATCCATCAGCTAAAGAAACAAATCCCAGATCATAAATAATTTCATTTTTAATTATCTGTACAAAACTTCTCAAACTATGAAAATAAAGTTTGCAAAAGGCAGAGTAGCACAGGAGCCTCAGGTCAGGCACGCTACACTATGTACACATCTTCCCACGCGGGAGAGAGAGGCGTCCGGGGCCGAGCCCCACTCGCAGTCCGGGAAAGCCAAGTTGGCTTCCGTCAGCGCAGGGAGGTGTACACCTCTCTTCCCTCTAGACAAGGAAAAAAGCCACTAAGGTGCCTGCAGAGCAAGGAGGGCCCCCTCCCCCGCTAACGGCTCAGCCCCTGCAGTGCCCAGATTGGCCACCAGAGGTCAGCACTGTCATGGCAGCCGCTCTTCGAGTCGTAGTTGCGCCCCTCAGGCCTTCCACGCGGAAGGGACAGTGCAGCCGCGGGTGAACCCTGGAGGCCAGGATCTCTGGCGCTGCCTTCGGCTTTCAGCGCTCCGACGCAGGACAGAAGCCGCACGGAACCCGGGTGGCTGGAGGCAGGGGCGCTGAGGCTGAGAACACCGCGGGGTCTAGCTGTAAGTGACAGTGGTCCCACCACCCAGGCGCATGAGCATCTGCTGACAGTCGTGCAGCAGCCGGCGATCGCCGAGCTTCTCAAGCGTTCGCGCCGCCTCAGCCAGCATGCCAATGCGCTGCCCGGGCGCCGACAGGAAGCCGGGGGGCAGGTAGCAGGAGGCCAGCAGCAAGGCCTCCGCGTGCTCCCGCCGCGTGGGCCGCGGCTCCAGCTCCGTCGCCACGCCTGCGCAAACGGGGATGTCAGGGGTGGGGCTCGAGCTGGCCACGCCCCCGCTGGAGCCCTGCCCACACACAAGCTAAAGCTCTGCCCCCTCCCTGTACCTAGCACACGGAGCTGGCAGGTCCCCTTCTCACCACCCTTGCCTCAGCCCCCACGTAAAGTCCACATACTGATTCATGCACGTGCAGTCCTGTATCACACAAATGACAGTCGCCCCACTGATTTCTCATGAAAGGAACTGTCAGGTAACCATCAAGATGATTTTTTTTTTTTTTTTTCAGAAAGGGTCTCCTTCCTGTCGCCCAGGCTCACGGTCACCTCCCACTCCTGGGCTCAATCCGTCCTCCCGCCTCAGCCTCCTAAAGTGCTGGCATTACAGGTGTGAGCCACCACTCCAGGCCTGTCTCATCTGACACACACGCAGTCTCCCTTGACACACCCCATGTGAGCCCTTCCCTGCTAGGCAGACAGCACAGCCCTGGTCAGCAGGTGCTCCTCACCTCCTTTGCCGCCAGGGCCTGCCCGCCGCCTCAGACTGCGGTCCAGGAGCTGGTGTGTTCGTGCGGGGCTGGCCCCCGCCATCAGCCGGGCCGTGGCTTCATGTAGGAACACCTGAGCAAGGGGGACCAGCAGAGTGGAAACTCAGGCTCTTCCCTCTCCACCACTACCTGACTCCTCCCCATCTTGAAGGAGGGGACCAATGGGCACTCACCCTCCGCATGGCAGGCCGGAAGCTCTGTGCCAGCCGCCTCAAGCTGCTCAGGTCCCGCTGGAAACCACGGAGCTCAAGCGCGGAAGCCTGGGGCCCGCTGCTGGCACCCTGGCCTGCTGGGGCCGGGGCCGGGGGCTGCTGCTGGTGCCACAGGCTGGTACGCACCACGAGGAGTAGGTCACACAGGAACAGCTGCACGGCCTGGGGGTGGCAGGCAGGGCAGGGGTCACCAGGGCTCCAGCTCTGGGAGGGGCAGGATGGGGGCCCACGGTGCCAGGGGCCAGCTCCGGGCTGCACTGCCGAGGCACTGCACCCGCCTCACACACATGCAATGCAACAGCAATGCACCACGGGGCCGCCCGCCTCTCTCGGCCCCCACACCCGCCACTGGCCCTGAGCAGCTGTCCAGGCCTCTTGATGCAGGGCCTCCGAAGGGATCCTGCCACATCATCCACCCCCCTCCTCCCAGGGGTGGGGAAACCGAGGCCAGATAGGGGCAACCCCTCTCCCCTCGACAGAAGCCTTAGCCAGAAAACAAGGTCTGCTGGATCCCCAGCTTGCACTTCGAGGGCTAATCCTATGGTCTTCTGGGGCCCCTGGGGGCTGGGGAGAAGGACCAGAGAATGGAAGCCTGAGTCCCCCAGCCCTGCCAGGCCCCTGGCCCCACCCCTCACCTTGTCAAGGGAGCTGCCGGCTGGTGTGGTAGCCAGGCTGTCCTGAAGGTACCCACTGGCCTTCTCACAGATGGTCAGGCTGGCTGGGCCAGACTCTGCCTTGGCACAGCCCAGGAGGGCCCGGGCAGCCTTGAATGAGTGCAGAGCCGCCCTGGGCAGGGGTCTCCTGTTGGGACCAGGGCAGAAGAGTGACAATCAGACCAGGCCACTAGCCCTGGCTGAGTGCCCCGGGGATGGGAAGGCTGGGCCAGGGGCCAGGCAGGAGGACTATGCCCTGCACTCACTCAGACTCCTGCAGCACCCGGGGCAGGTGCTCCACCAGCGGGCACAGCTGCTCAGCCGCCTCCTCGTCCCGCCGCAGCCAGTGGATCACCACGGCTGTCAGAGAGGCCCACCACTTGGCCACCGGGTCTACCCCTGCAGAAGACAGAGGGTCCCCTGAGCCCTCAGCCATGCTGCACCATGACTGAGAAGGGAGCAGGACAGGGGCCGGGTGCTCACCAGTGGTGGTGGCCATGCTGGAACTGATGGAGAAGCTGCAGGTGGGAGCTCCAGCGGCATCAGAACAGCTGTTCAACAGCTGCAGGTACCCGAGGGCATCCGAGAATTCCCTGTGGCAGGAGAGGGCTGGCTGTCCGGACAGACGGCAGGGGTCCTAGGAGGGTGCTGGCCCTCCCCACCTGCCCACCAGAGTCCAGCCTGACCCCTGGCTCTGCAAAGTGCCACTGTCTCCTCCCACAGGCTGGCGGGGAGAGGAAACCCAGAGAGGAAGAAGGGCACACAGCACGCACGGTAGTCCAGGCTCTGGCCCTCTTCACAGGGCTGAGGACAGAGCTGTTCCCAGATTCCTGCTGGAGGGGTCTTGCCTGGAAGAGGGCACAACGACACTTACTTGTCCCCATCAGCTGACCCAGGACTGGGGTTGGGCTGGGCCACACAGTTCAGTGCTCGCTCCAAGAGATGTTCCCGGAATAGCTGAGTCACCTGGGCCAGGGGGTCCACTGTGGAGAGGTGGGGTTTTGTGGGGTGGGGAGCAGGGCCCCACCCTCCTCTCCAAGCCAAGGGCTTTTTCCTGGGTGGGCTGGGGCCACACCCAGGGCCATGGGAAGTGCCAGCGCGGCCCTGGGTGCAGCCCCTGCCAAGGACGGGAAAACAGATGGATATAAATACCCCAGCACCAGCCTTGGCCAGAACAACACTGAGACCTGCCCTGCGCTGCTCCCAAAGGAAAACCGACTTGAGAAGATGCCACTATTGGCTCCATTCTTCCCTGTCGCACTTCCTCACTCTACGGCGGCACTGCCGGGGGTCACTTCCCAAATCAGCCACCTGCCCTTAAATTCCCATGTGTGCTTTTGAAAGCCGCAGTGGGAACCAAGACTCGTCTAGGCCTTCCCCTTCCTGCAGCCCCCACAGCAACAACCCACGGCGGGGACAAGGACTCGGGTGGCCAGAGACTGCCAGAGATTCAGGAGGTGATAGGACAGGACAGGAGAGGGACAGGGAGGGGATGAGAGAGCACCTGGGTTCCCAGCCAAGCTGTACAGGCTCTCCCGTGGGGTGCTGAGCACGGCCCAGTCCCCATCCACGAAGAAACGATGGCCCACTGGGTGGCAGAGCCACTGCATGGCAAGGGGCACTGAGCCACTCTGTGCCAGGCAGACCTGGCGAGCGCTGCTCAGGAAGAAACGCTGTAGGGGAGGGAAATGGGCTGTCGCAGTGGACACAGGCTGGGGCCAGACCCCAGGCTGAGCCGCAGCTGCCCCTCTGGTAACCACTGCCACATCTGGTGCAGCTCTTACCAGGGAGCCTCTGGAGAGAGCTTCAGGAATAAGCCCCACCCACCCACCCACCCGCCATCACTCACTGTCAGAAAATGCAAGGCCCTCGGAAGACTGGTCTTCACTCTCAATGCAGCTACCACATAGATCTCGGCCAGCGTCACCACAGACACGGCATCCCCTGCACACTCTGCCAGGTTCAGGGCACTCAGCGCCAGGTTGGTGGCAGTGAGATGCCCACCTGTGTACTTCCCTGGAAGGCAGGCAGGCCATGAGGCTGCGGTGGAGCCCAGGCAGCAGGGAGTGCTGCAGGGCCCGCCCCACGATCGGCCTTACCCATGGTGTGCAGCTGGTGCAGCTTATGGTAGACCAGGGCCGCATCTCGGGCACTGGCACGAGCATCCACCCGCAGAGAGCAGTCCCTCTGCAGGCCCCCTGCTCGGCCTGCCAGCCAGCGGCCCACCCAGAGACGCTGCAGCAGGTGACGGATGAGGTTCCAGAGGAGGCTACATGCCAGGTCCAGGTGGGAGGTGGGCAGGGGCCGGCCCAGCGCCCGCAGGGCCAGCCACAACTGTTGGGCAGCCTGGGCAAAGTCCCCCTGCAGATGAGTGATTTCCAGGTGAGAAAGTGAGTTCAGAGCAGCTGCCCCACAGCTCAGAAGAGCTGTACACAGCAGGCTCTGGAGGGTCAGTGGGGGTCTGCAGATGCACGGGAAGGCCAGGATCTTCATGGTGTGCACAGGGAGCAGGGAACAGGCTGACACGCAGCACCTTCTCAGCCTGGGGCCCTGCCCACTCTGCCAGGGCCACCCCCTTACCCGGGCCAGGTCCAGGTCGGCCTGCTTGCGATGCCTCCAGAAGTGCACAGCGGGGTCTGAGTGGGGCCGCGTGACTGGCTCTCCGTAGACAAAGAGAAGCACCAAGGAGACCAGCACCAGCAGCCCATTGAGCAGCCAGACCACGGGGGGCAGCAGCCACTGGGCCCAACCAGGGCCATCTAGGGTCAGAGGGAAAGCTGGGGACACAGCTCCCAGGAAATCCAGAGGCCCAGCCCACAAGCCTGGTGGGAACTCCCTGCGAGCATCCCTCCCGAAGATGCCCTGGCTGGCCGGTCCCACCTCGGCTCTCGGTGCCCAGCACGTTGCGCCCAGGGATGTGGTAGATGCTGGTGGTTTCTGAGGGGCTGGGAAGCCCTCGGGCCCCCAGCAAGGAGGCCAAGGGGTTGCAGGACAGGCAGAGGAAGACGAGTGTGCACAGGGCGAGGCGGGAGCGGTCCAGCATGCCCCCACTGTGTGCAGTCGGCCGCTGCTCCGGCTTTGCCTGCTGGGGGTGGGCAGGATGGTGAAGGCAGAACTGGAGGGACTCCAGAGAACAGGGGGCTGAGAAGGGGGTCAGGATTCTGCCCACCTTACTGTGAGACCCCACATGGCTCCAGGCCTCAGTTATTCTATGAAATGGGGGGTAGGATCTGTTAGGGTAATGAGGCACTGTGGCAGGGCCCAACCTGGCTGTCATCAAAGACGGGGCTGTCAGGCTCCGAGTCACTGCCACTGCCACCGCTGCCGCTGCCCCTGCTGCCAAGGGACAAGGGGCTGCTCTGGAAGGGTGAGCCGGCATCTGAGGGGGGTGGGGTCAGTGTGTCCTCCACCTCCGTCTTCACACCCTCCATGAGCACATCTGTGCTCCCTCCACCGCCACAGGCCAACACCAGGTCCTTCAGAGATTCTGTGGGCCGAAAGGAACAGAGCTGGGGCACAGGCTGAATATGTGACCCCAGACCAGAGCTTAGGGCCCTGGGCTTGGGGGCCTAGAGGCTGCTGTATAGCTCCTAAAGCTGGCCTGGGAAGCTTCGATGGGGCCGGGTTAGGGCCAAAGGGAGGCGCCAGGGCTCTTTTTAGGACCACAGGTAACCACGGAACTAGAGCTGAAGGCAGGGCTAGAGCCCAGGGTGAGGTGGGCAGGACAGAGGCAGGACCAGAACCAGGACAAGGACAGAGTCAAGGGCAGGGTGGGGCTAGGACCGGGCCATGGAGCAGGGCTAGAGGCCAGACTGGAGCTCAGTGAAGCCAGGACTCACTGCTTTTGTGGACAGCAGTGCGCAGACTCAGGTTCTCCTGCTTGAGTTTCTGGTTGCTGTGTTGTAGAAAGCGGATGTAGTCGATGGCCTTGCGCAAGACAGCAGATTTATTCAGCTGCACGGTGTGGAGGGAGGGGAGAGCACACAGGTGGCCAGTCAGGTTGGGGCTTGGGGTACTGGGGGGCCTTAGCAAGTGGGTATGGAGCTGCTTTGCAACACTACTGCCTCAGGACCTTTGCACTCATTCCTTCCAACTGAAATGTTCGTCCCCTCCCCCGTCCCAGACCAGGCACAGGGTTAGGATATAAAATGCAGACAGCGGAGCCTGGCTAGCTGCTGCTGTGCCTGGCACCGTCTCAGGGAGGCCTTCCCTGGCTACCACCAGGGGCCCTCACCATCCCTCTTCCTGACTTCTCTGCAATGAGCCCCACGAGGTGGCCTCCAGCACTCATCCTGCCTCTTGTCTATCTCCCCACCTAAACGTCCGCCCCTCTTGGAGGGACAGTTTTTGTCTGACTTGTTCATTGGTGCATCCCGAATGCCAGCACAGCCCCACCTTTATCGGAGAGGCCCACAATCCAGTTTAACTAAATGAGGCTGGCCAGGCCTGGGGAGGCTGAAGCCCAATTGCCTGCTTGTCCAGGCTCAGCCTCATGCTTTCTCTTTTCCCTCCAGTTGCCCCTGATCTGTTCCTTCCTGGGGGCACCCCAGTCTGTGCCCCAAAGGCCTCTCCACACCTTTGCCTCAGTGCCCACCACCAGGTCCTTGAGCTCGATGATTTTGTCATTGATGGAGGAGCGGTAGCGCTTCTCAATGGCATTGTGGGCTGTGCGCTTCTCTCCACGGCTCTGGGCTGAGCCCGGGGCCTTGCTGCCAGCTGCCAGCCGGTTGATGGGCAGCTTGTCCGCATCTACGACCAGCGGCACTGTTGCCAAGATGGTTCCGCCACTCACCAGAGTCTGCAGGGCCAGACACATGTTACCAGGTGGGCACGTGTGTGTGCAGACCCCACTCCCTCATGCCCTGCCCACAACACCCACCGGCAAAGGCCCTGTCTGTACAGTGGCACCAGAGACCAGGGGGCCGAGACCCGCCGCCTTCACAGTGGCTCCATCTGTCTTCATGGTTGTCAGAAGCAGTGAGTCTGCCTTGATGAAGTGGGGCTGCAGCAGGACCTGAGCAGAGGACTCGGCATAAGCTATGGGGCTCAGCCAGGAGCTGTCCCCTCCCCCACCCCTGCCCAGACCCCCTCACCGGAACCTGCTGGATCTGCGAGGTCACAGTGGTCGTTGCAGGGGCTGCCGTGGGGGCAGCTGTGACTGTCAGTAGCTGCTGGGGGGCTGCACTCTGGACCTGGGTGTGCAAGGAGACGGGCGGAACTCCTGGCGGGGAAGCCAGTGGCAGGCCAGGCAGCGGCTGCTGGGTGCTCCCGGGAGGGCTCCCTGCAGAAATAAAGCCTGGGGCTGCAGGCACAGACCACTCTCACGCCACTTTCAACCTGCTCCTCAGGTCTCTATCACCGGCTGGCCTGGGGCGAGTCATTAGCCGTGTGGTGGCTTCCTATGGACAGTCCCTGCCTGGGCTCTGACGTAAATGTGCTGGCTTCAAGACAGGCCTCCAGTCTGAGGTTGTGCCTACCCTGGCAATAAGCACACCAGGACTGCTAGGAACAAGGCGTCTCAAGCAGCAGAGTGGAGACCATTTCTAAAGCCTGCGCAGACCTCTACGAACATCACAGAAGCTTCTTCCTGTGCTCCTGAGAGCCCCACCTCAGGTGTCCCGTCCGTCACACATCCCCCTTACCTTTGGAGAAGCTGCCGGCAGGGCTGGGGTAGCCCAACACAGGGGTGGAGCTGAACTGCGGAGGGGCCAGGGCTGGGAAGCTCTGCGGCAGGAGGGCCCCGGGCAGGGGCTGTGGGGTGGGGGGCTGCAGGATGCTCAGTGGCACTGACTCTTCCTTGATACCAGGCCCAGGGGAGAAAGTGGGCACAGGCGGGTACATCTTCAATGGAGCAGGTGCAGGCTGGGGAGGGGACAGGGGCGAGGGTGCTGCCTCCGGCCCACTCAGGAAGCCTTCGAGGGAGGAGCTCAGTGTAGCAGGAGGTGGAGACAAGCTGGCTGGGGAGCTGGGATCGGGGCTGGCAGGGTCCGTACTCCCTGCCTCACCCCCAGCATAGGGTGGGTCAAACAGGCCAGGGAAGTCACTGTCTTGGTTGTTGATAAGCTGAAGCATGTCTGAGAAAAGAAGAGGATGTGTGAGTGAGGCAGAGACCAATTCCCAAACAGGGCATCGCACACATCCAGATATAACCCTGTCACACAACCTTTGCACACAGCTGTATGTGTGGGCAATGCCACCAGAACAGAAGGCCACTCACAGGAGCTGGTGTTCCTGGACACACAGCCATTTTGCAAACACCTGTGCTGTCCGGAGCATTGCCTGTGGCTGCCAGTGCATCACAACGCCTGGACAAGGCGGGCACCACAGGCTCCCAGTCTTGCCCCATGGCTAGGCTGGGGCTGAGTCCAGGGTCGGCCCAAGACTGCAGACTTCGGGCCTGAGCTCTTCCCACCACCCAGTATTTGCCCAAACATCTGGCAACATCCTTAGTCTACAGCAAACAGCAGGCCCACATTCATTCATTCATTCATTCATTCACTTATTCAATGAGCATGTGCTGGGCACCCACACCATGCCAGGCCCTGTTCCTGGCTGTGAATGAGAAAAATCCCTGCCTAGAACCAGGCAGCTTTCTGGTGAGAATGTCCCATATCTTGATGTCTTTACTAGAAGACATCCACCTCTGAGTACATACACACACACTGCACTGTGGATTCAGACCAGCCTCCAAGCATTTGCCCATGAAGTGACCAACGCTTGCAGACGCTCTCCTGCCCTCTCCACACTCCATCACCTCCCACCCCACCCAGGACAAAAGGAATCCAGAGGCCCAGGTACAGCCTTCCCTGGCCCCACTTGGGGCCTCAGTTTCTCAATGTGTGAAATGGGAACACGCCTCCGTCCACAGATCCAGCTGCTCCAGTCTTTGGGAGGGAGATGGGGTTGGGGAGGGAGGAAGCAGTCTAGGGCAGGTGGGAAACAGGACAGAAAGGGTCTCCATAAGGAGCAATGGGCCCCACGCCCCACCCACTGGCCACTCCTACAAGCGCCCTCAGCAAGACACTATTTGACAAAGAAGCTTAGAAACTGCTGAGGAGTGGGTGACTTTCCCCTCCCCTCAGTTTACAGAGGTAAGAGGGGTGCAGAGAGAGGCAGGATGGGCTTGAGGCCCTGAAGGAGTCTGTGCCCAAGGATCAGCTTTGCAGCCTGGGCCCACTCTTCCTAGGGCAGCACAGGATCCCCAAGAGAATGGCAGACAGGGAAGTCCTCCCAAGAGAGAGCCCCAGATCAGAGCAGGGTCCTCATCCATGCCGGAAGCACTCAAACAATGAGGGCACATGTCAGAAGGTTGGGTCTGGGCCAAAAGCCAGGCGTGCTGTGGGGCTACTCACATTGATGGGACCAGGCTAGAGCCCTAATCCTCACCCACAGCTCTGAGAGGGTGGTGTGATCATTGGCCCCATTCTACAGATGAAGAAACTGAGCTGTAGAGAGGTGACTTACTGGCCTAAGTTCATAGAGTCAGACTCAACTGAGTCCAGACCATACTTGACTCCAATGCCCCAACCACTGGCCACTACCCTAGACTACCTCAAAAGATTCGCTGAGACAAGTGCAGTGACTCATGCCTGTAATCTCAGCACTTTGGGAGGCTGAGGTGGGCAGATCACGAGGTCAAGGGATTGAGACCATTCTGACCAATATGGTAAAACCCCGTCTCTACTGAAAATATTAAAATTAGCCGGGAGTGGTGGCGTGCACCTGTAGTCCCAGCTACTTGGGAGGCAGAGGCAGAAGAATCGCTTGAACCCGAGAGGCAGAGGTTGCAGTGAGCCGAGATTGCACCACTGCACTCCAGCCTGGGTGACAGAGCAAGACTTCGTCTCAAAAACAAAACAAAAAAAATTAGCAGCCGGGCGCAGTGGCTCACATCTATAATCCCAGCACTTTGGGAGGCCGAGGCAGGTGGATCACGAGGTCAAGAGATCGAGACCATCCTGGTCAACAAGGTGAAACACCGCCTCTACTAAAAATACAAAAATTAGCTGGGTATGGTGGTGCATGCCTGTAATCCCAGCTACTCGGGAGGCTGAGGCAGAAGAATTGCTTGAACCCAGGAGGCGGAGGTTGCAGTGAGCCAAGATCGCGCCATTGCACTCCAGGCTGGGTAACAAGAGCAAGACTCCGTCCTCAAAAAAAAAAAAAAAAAAAAAAAAAATTAGCTCACCTCATCTCGGAGACAAGAAAAGACCTGAGGTTCAGAGAGGACCACACACAGCCCAAGGGCATGCAGTGGGGTTCAAATCCAGGTCTGCAAAATGCCAGATCTATCATCTCTGTGCCTTTTCTTGCCCTGCCTAGAAGCCAAGAGCCAGGCTGCCATCACCAACCCATTACTCAGCGGAAGAGACCAAGGCTTAGGGACAGCCAGCTGCTGGCCACATAACCAACCAGTGTGTCTGTGTAGAGTTCTGGGCTCAAGTCCAGGCTTTGCCTGCAGCCAAGTAGCCTCAAGACCCAGGCCTGGCCACTCAGGACTTTGATTTCATCTCTGTAAAAGCAGGTGCTGTCTGTCCTGACTCTTCCCTCCTCACACAGACTGGGACACACTCCCACCTCAGCCCCGGCTGGCAACTGGCAGCCTGACTGGCTCAGCCCAGGGCCCTCTAACCCACTTGTGGTGGCACCCACTGGGTCAGAGTGCTCTACAGGACCCATGGGGGCCTCCAGTGCTCTCAGGATCCCCAGCCTGAGCTCCCAGCCCTGCCCAGCACTAGCTTGAAGTGGAGCCTGGACCAACAGCCTCTGCTCACTGGCCTCAGTTTCCTCATCTGTACAATGGAAAAGATTAAACCCTTTTTGGTAGGGCTGCCTGAGGCTTTGCTTAGCAGGCCATGGGCACAGACTGGAGACCCAACATTGCCTACTGACGGGTGCCCAGGCAGGGAAGTCACTGCAGGATGGGAATTCCCTAGAGCAGCTGGCAGAATAGGATAGGGTGGTGGGCCCAGCCTCCCTGGCTTCTCCAGTAGAAACTCTCCTAGTTTGTGAAGGCTCCAGCTCACAAGTCATCAAGTCATTATGGACATTCAACAGCAGGGTTTCCCACCCCTTTATCCCAGTCTGCATGAGCCTCTTTGATAGATGGGGGACACTGAGGCCTGAAGGAAAAACTGACAATTTTGACAATCTAGGGCTCCTACCATCTGCCTGAAGAGTCTAAGATGCCCACAAAAGGCAGGGGTGCTGAATAGGCTGGACGCTGTGGCAGACAGAGGGACAGCCGGGCCCTCCTCCCTGCAACCTCCTGGCCCCTCAAAGCAGGTGCAGAGAAGGTAGAGAAGGCCACCCTCTGCCTCCAGATCCCCTTAGGTCGGGGTGCTGCTCTCGGCTCTCTAAGCAAACCCTTCCCCCTTGAGTTGCAGGAGGCACTAATTTGGTTGGGGGTAGCCCCCCATTTCCCCAGCGAGCTGAAACGACTGTCACACCTTTTCCCTCAAGAAGGGGCTCTTTCCTGCTCCCCAGCCCCCACGCCCTCCCACTCTAGGAGAACCTGCAGGAGACGGAGGCATTGTATAAAGGGCTGAGGGGGCCTCCAAAAATACCTTCGAACGTGCACTCCATGGCTCCGCGATCCGCACCCGCCCTTGGGGCGTCCAGGCGGCTGGCCTTACCCCTCCCCGCGCCGACTTCACCTGCCAAGGCGCGGCGGAGTTTTGAAGCCGTTGAGCGCCCGGGTGCTCCCGCCCCGCCCCGCCCCGCCCCCAGCCCCGCCCCGCTCTCAGGTCCCGCCCCGCCCCATCCCGCCCCTCGGGGCTGCGGGCCGGGCATGGGGTGAGCGCGTGCGGCCAATCAGCAGCCGCGCCGCCGCCTCGCTAGTGTCCCGGCCCGGCCCCCGCCCCACCTCCCCACGGCGGCGGGCGGAGCGCAGGGGGAGGGGGCTCGGGTTTCACCCCGCGGCGCTGAATGGGGTTGGGGTTACTCGCGGGCGTCCGCCTTTAACCCGCTCGGCGCCAGCGTCTGCCGGGGTTACCGGCGGTCACTGGCCCTCAGCTCCCGCCCCCTCCGTTAAAGGGTCAGAGGGGGAGGTCCTGGCCCAACACCTCAGAACTCTGTGTTCGAAATCACTGGTTCGCTGACGCCCTGAGTGAGCCCTAACTGCTCCAACCCTCAGTTTACTCCTCCAGAAAACAGCACACTCATTATCTCCCTGGCGTCGAATGGTAGAAGGGAGATAATATGGCTGCAACATTAAGAAGCGATTAAGGCCAAGCGCTGCTGAGTGGTAGCTGCAGTGGGTGCAGGGACCTTCCCGTCTTAGGGCAGCCCCGGAAAGGGGCCACCCCCCACCACAGTGGGGTTGATGATCTGGGATGAGGCCACCCCTGAAAACAGGTCGCTTCCGGGAAACTGAGGCCCGGACATAAGGGTTTCCTGACGGCCAGCGCGATGTCCCTCTGGGTGACGTTTGCCCCTCCTCCTCAAGGCCTCACAAGCCAGTCGTCACCAAGTGAATCCCGAACCTCTAATTCATTGTAGGGCCCTGGGAGGCCAGGAAGGGATGGGTCCTGGGACAGACAGGCTCTGGGGGTCTTTTGAAGAGGTGCCTGGGCCTGCCTTCCCTCTTCTGTCAAAGGTATGAGTTATATACACACACACACACACACACACACACACACACACACACACACGAGATCAGAGCCTGGCCAGCTGATTTTGTAGCCAAGTAGACCACCAGCAAAGCCTACCTCGGCCTCAACCTAGAGGCCAGCACCTCTGCCCGCCCCCAGTCCCCCAGTTGGCTGCAACCTGGGAGGGAGGCAGAACCCTAGGCAGACTCAGCTGTCTCTTAGGGGCTGGGGTCCATGTGGCCTCAACCTTGCTCTCTTTTCAGGACCTGAAGCAAGAAAACCCCGCCATGTCTCCCTCACACCCTGTCCTTGTCGCCAGGTGCTTCTTTCCCAGCTTTGGAAGGTTCGAGGACAACAGACCCCATCTTCAGCACGGCCAAACCCCCACTTAGCCCATGGGTGTTCGTTCCCTCATCCCCAAAACAAAACACAGCATTGCTCTTGGCAAAGGCTCTGACCTCACATGAGTAACTTAAGACTGATAAACCTCGCCAGGCGCAGTGGCTCATACCTGTAATCCCAGCACTTTGGGAGGCCAAGGTGGGCAGATCACAAGGTCAAGAGATCGAGACTATCCTGGCCAACATTGTGAAACCCCATCTCTACTAAAAATACAAAAATTAGCTGGCTGTGGTGGCGCGTGCCTATAGTCCCAGCTACTTGGGAGGCCGAGGCAGGAGAATTGCTTGAACCTGGGAGGCTGAGGTTGCAGTAAGCCGAGATCGCGCCACTGCACTCCAGCCTGGTGCAGACTGAGAGGTGAACTCCAGGCAGGACTTCCCCATGGCCTCCCAGCCTGCGTCTTTCATTACTTTGCTCCCCAGTTTCTGAGCCCAGAATGTGGCCGGACCAACATGCAGATACTTGCTGGAGACAGCAGAGCCAGGGCCACCTGCAACAGTCAAGCCTGTCCCCTCCCCTTCCCCATCTTGGCTTTACCAGAGATTCCAGCCCTTTCTGTGTCTTTTATTTCTCCCCTCTTCCCCCACTCCCATCCCACTGAGGAAGCGGGAGGGGCTCTCTTGAGTCCCAGAGGCAGAAGAGTCATTAAAGACTCTAGTGGGGGCGGGGCACGGGGCCTTCCAGGAGGAGGGGTGTGACCTGGGAACAGAGGGCAGAGGGCACGGACTAAGTTAAGATGCCTGGAGGAAGAGCCTGGGTGCCACTGGCCATGGCCATCCTCTGAAACTCAAGGCCTGGCCAGACCTGTCTCACCTCCCCTGGGGCTGGATCTGCGGGCCAATTTTTTTTTTTTTTTTTTTTTAAACAGAATCTCATTCTGTTGTTGCCCATGCTGGAGTGCAGTGGTGCAATCTTGGCTCACTGCAACCTCCACCTCCCAGGTTCAAGTGATTCTCCTGCCTCAGCCTCCCGAGTAGGTTGGATTACAGGCCTGCGACACCACACTTGGCTAATTTTTGTGTTTTTAGTAGAGATGGGCTTTCATCATGTTGGCCAGGCTGGTCTCGAACTCCTGACCTCAGGTGATCTGCCTGCCTTGGCTTCTCAAAGTGCTGGGATTATAGGCGTGAGCCACCATGCCCAGCCTCCTGACCAGTTTCTACAGAAGCTGGTCATCACTTCTTTCTTTCTTTATTTTAGAGATGGGGTTGCACTATATTGGCCAGGATGGTCCTGATCTCTTGACCTCATGATCCACCCGCCTCGGCCTCCTAAAGTGCTGGGATTACAGGCGTGAGCCACCATGCCCAGCTGCTGGTCATCACTTCTATAGAAGCTGGTTAACACTGAAAAAGGAAACTCTAGAGCCAGCCCCACAGCCTCCCCAGAGCCACAGCCAAGCAGGCCATCTGGGGCAGCATGCCTGGGCCTGCTCTTCCTTCAGTCCCTCAGTTGCTGTGTGATGGGGACAGTCCACTCCCCACTCTCTAGGATCTCCAGGAGTGGGGGTTCTGGGAGAGCAAGTGCATAAAACATGCACCACTCAACAGTCTCAACAAAGGTTAGTTCCCTCTACAGCAATTAGAATGGTTTAGAACTGGAAAGTCACATAGTGAGTTGCCTGATAATTACAGTATTCAAGTCGGAGCTCCATTACCATTTGATGGAGTTGTTTTCTTTTTTTTTTTAAGGGGAGTTAACGGAACCAGTCTAACCAGAGTAAGGCAGTTGAGGCACCTTGAGTGCACAATTTAAGGAAGCACCTCTCTCACCTCCCCTAGTCCCTGTCCTAGAAGCTGGGATAGCTAGTGTCTAGAGGCTCACGTGGCACCCAAATTGCAGCCCACCTGCAGGTGAACCAATTACTGGGATTCCCGACGACTGCTAAGAAGGCCCTTCTGGTTCCCACACTCTGAACACAGGATGGACAAGGAGGCAGAGACTGCTCCCTCATTCACCTTCCCCACCTTGCGAAGCCCTGACACCCCTCCCCCCGAGCCTGGGTTCTTCCTCTTCCCTCTTCTTCCTCTCCTGCCCTGATTGTATCAGGACCCAACAGGAAACCTGAACCCCCCACCTGGCATCCCTCTCCAGTTCCACCTTCAAAACATCTCTCTGAAAGCAGACGTGCGAAGCCATTAATGACTCCTGTCGATGTGTTGTTCTATGAAGCCCAGATGAAAACCCTGGGCAGGCGCCATGCCACGCACTTGCGGGACCCAGCTCTGACCAGCACAGAAGCCTACAACGTGCACAAGGCCTTGAACCGCAGATAACCTCTGCTTGCACACCTGCTGGAACAGAGAGTTTGCCACCTGCCCCCACGGCCTCGTCCACGGAACCCAGATCCATCTCTTTGGCAATATCTACTGAGTGCCAATCCTGTGCCAGGCACTGGGGCCATTGTAGATGAAGTAGTCAGGGCAGCCCATCTTAGGAGGTGACATCTGAAAGGAGGGCTGAATGAAATGAGGGAGTGGGCCAGAAAGGAGGGCAGAAGGAACAGCCTGCAAAGGCCCTGCGGTGGGCGTGGATGTGCAACAGCTGGACAGTGAGGAAGAGCAGAGCCAGCACAGCCAAGGAGCTGCTCTTCCTTCAGTCCCTCAGTTGCTGTGTGATGGGGACAGTCCACTCTGAGCTGGGATTCCAACTCAGGTTTGTCTGTCATCTGAGCCAAGGACTCTGATTCTGCAGGGAACGGGTGGGAAGGGGATTTGCAAACTGACCCTGCCCTGCAGATTACAAAGCCTCGTCAACTGTGAAGAGGGTCGGCAGCGCACAGTGGCTCACGGGATCCCAGAGCACACCTCTGTGCCTGCCAATGGAGGTGCAGAGGACAGTGCACACCATCCCTGCAGGGAACTGGGCTGCACCCCCTTGCTGTTCTGCTCCCACCAGGCGTCTCCTTGATCCTCCTAACTGGAGCCGGCAGTTCTCCTGTGCTCAGCTGATCATGTTTGCAGCAGGGGCACAGGCTGCCCTTTGTGCGCTCATGGCTGCCCTGGGGGTGCAAGTGTGTGCCGGCTCTTCCTGGAATGGGACGTGCCCATGGCTGGAGCCCCAGCTGCACCTGGGCATGGCCCTCTGGAGGAAACTAAGGCTCAGAGGGAGGCCTCATGCCCGAAGTCCCACAGTCGCCCTGTGAAGGATCAAGGACGTAAACCCCATTCTGCTGACCCCAGAGCCTGCGCTTTGGCTCCAGCCTGCTGGGGACAGCAGGGAGCCCCAGGTCCGGCCTGCCTCTGCCCTGAGCAGCTGTCCTCATTTGTCAGTCCAGTGAACATGTGCAGACTGCAAGGACAGACAGGACAACACGAAGCTCTTTAAGGCTCAGCTCCGGCACTGCCTCCTCCCGGAGGCTTCCTAACCACCCCACCACCATCAAGACGCACCCACGTTCCTTACCAAGTTAGAGGCCAGGCCTCAGCTGGGGGCCCCTTCTGGCAGGGCCTGAACGAGCTGTGACCCCAGCGTCACCCAGCACAGGGCTGACCACAGCAGGGACCCCAGTCAGGGGCCGGGCAGATTCCAGCCATGGCTGCCTACCCCACTACCCCCCACTGGTGTCTCCCTGGGCCAGGCTCTTCCCTCCACCAGGAATGCCCTTTCCACCCGGAGAACTCCTATTCCTCCCTCAAAACTTGCTCTGGCGCCGCCTCATT